CTAGCAATCAGGCAGCGACGATGAAATTATTTCTATCAAGGACACTGAATCAGACGAGTCTTCTACGTCAGATGGTAAACTTCAGATAAACGAAGATACATCAACAGAAGCGAAGCAACAAAATCAAGATGCACAGGTTACAGAAACAGAACCCCAAGATACTGTTATAAAGGTACAAGTTGAAAAAGAAGAAGATCCTAAAATGGAAGTAACTGAAAGTAGTGTGGATCCTTTGAATGAAGCTCACTCTTCGGTACTTACTGATGATAATTCTGTGTTAGTCTCAGATCAATCTATAAATTTAAATTACTCTGATGAAGCAAAAGAAACAGTAGTTGAAAAAGAGAATCCTCAAGATATTGAAACTGAAAAGGATGTAATCCCAAGAAACGTGACTGAATCTGATACAGTAATTCCTATGGAAACAGGTATTTAATTTACTATTATACATTAAAACTATATTTCTTTAATACATTTGTGTTTATAGTACATTAAGTCAGGAACCAATGCTTATGAATGAAGCTTAAGCTACAAGTAAAAATATATCAAAATATGACAAATTAATATACTTTCTTATTTATAATAATTACATAATACGAAGACAATCCTGTTTCTTTTTTTTATTTCAAATTCCTTGTTAATATATTTACAGATGAACAAGCGTCAGATACAAAAGTATCCGTGGAAAATATTGCTTCAGGTAACGATATAAAAAAAGGCGCTATTACTGTTTTTAAAGATATTGATGTCGTAGATTCCATTACTGTGAAATCGCCTGATCTAGACCTACTGGAAAAGCCAGAAAGTATTCTTAACACATCACCAATTGAAGCTGCTAAATATAAAGTTGAGGAAAGTGGGATATCAAAAGATAATAAACAGATTAATGTAGATAACGAAGTAAAAGATGATTCTTCTCAGAAGAAAAATGAAGGCACAAAAACAGATGAGAATATTGAAATAGATACAGACAAACCAGCTACCAGAATTAGAAAACGCACAAAATCTACAACTTCAAATAAGTCTGGCGTAGAAGCAGACGTAACAGAGAACAAGGAAGAAAAAGAAATAAAAACACCGTTGAGAAGAAAACGTACACCATCCACTGCATCTAATAAATCACTTCTGGAAACTGAACAGAAAACACCAGAAAACATACCCGAGGATATTAGCACTCCATCCAGAAGACGAGCTAAGACTCCCACTAGCGCTGAAGTTAGAAAAATTATAACTCGACGTGTGTCGAGAGAAATGTCAGGACAGTTGGATCAATCGAAAGATAATATTGAGACAGTATCAAGTACCCCAAAGAGACGTACTACGCGGGCAAGAAGTAAAAATATAGATGATAATGAAAGTGTCGCTTCTGAGAGTTCATTAAAATCTTCACGAAGTGTGGTCAACGAAGAGGCCGGCGATGTGAAACCGGCGGCGATTAGAAAAGGCAGGCGATCAATATTAGCGACGAAGACGGACTTGTCTGTGATTCCTGAAACTATACCGGAGGAGTCAGTTGGGAAAACGAATGAAGACTTGATCAATGAATATTCCAGTTCTAGAAGGTAAGATATCAAATATTTGGATTGTTATATAATAATCAGTCAGTAGGGTTTGACATTGCAAATAGAAATAATGTTTTTTTTTTATATTTATAAATTATAGGAAAACATTATTAATTTATTTATAAAACTTAAAGCACAAATACAAAAAAAAAGAAAGGTGCATATGGCGGACTTAACACCATAAGGCATATCTGTTCTAAATTATAGTTACCTATAGATATTTAAGGACTGCTGCTTGCAAAATTAAGATTTATTATTTTAATTTACAACATGTCGTACTAAACAACTTGCATCCAAAATCCAGATTTTCTTTTGTTCCCTGATTTTTAATAATAATAACTACTGCGCAGATATAAAAGGTACTAAATGTATGCTATAAGCAATGTCTTAAAGACAACGTTGGTTGATTTTTCATGCCATTGGGTTTACAAAAGTGTTACATATAAGCAAAAATTAAATTATTAAAATTTAAAATCTTCAGACTGACCCGTAACCAGAAGGCAGTACTAGAGTCGTGGCTAGAACCAGCTCCATCACCGCGGCGTGCTAGCACCAGCACGGCTGTCTCAGATGTCTCCAGAGATGACGAAGATGGCTCCCCCAACAAATCAGCCGCCTTCGACGTACAGTCCATGGATAGGATTTCATTGCTCAATAAAGCCGATTTTGAAGGTATGAAGTATTCGAAGATATATAACATTAATCTACGAATGAACTTTCAATAATTTTCACTAGCGAGCCTCAAATGTACGTAATAGAACGCTTATAATAATAAAAACTGCCTATAATTTTATAGTCTGATATGCAAACATACTTTGTAAGAGTAATTATTTCCTTCAAAAAATTTTTAATGTTTAGTATAACTATTTCTTGACTTATATATACTAGTAAAGAAATATGGGTCAACTCCTCAATCTAGCCTGTGCCACTTGTGTCTTAATGGGATAGTTCATTTTACTAGCATTTAGAACTGCATTCAGGAACTTATCTGCACTCTGTGGAGTGTTTGTATTGTAAATAGTAAAGTAATAAAGGAAGGTTCTATATATGAATTACTTAAGTAATGAAAATGTGTTAAGATTTTACTAGTAAGCATAATCTTAAGATTATGCTTACTAGTAAAATCTTAACGCATCCCCATTACAATATATTTGCAATTAACTGTAATTATAAATATATTGTAATTACGGTAATGTTCCGTGCGAACGTTTGACGTTTATCTGTCATGAGTCATGATGCAATTTTTTATAATTTATAATTAATATGACAATGCGTCCGCATACATTTGAGACCTCATTTAACAATAAAACTAAATTATGTTAAAATACTTCTATTTGTTTTTTTGCATTAATTTGCTTTTTTATAGCATCAAATTACTTTGCATTTCATGTCGCTTTAAAAAAATTAAATAATTATTAATTTTACATTACCTATAATTAATATCGAATTTTATCGTCACAAAAATATTGATATAATTAATGAATTTTTATACTAATTAATATTAATAATAGCCTACTAGTTTTAATTAATTGAAATCTTCAAGAAGTTATCTAAGTCAAGAAGATACTGCTAATTGAAGAATAAATCTGGTCACACTAAAATTTATGAGACACGAAAAATTATCTATTATTAAATAAAAAACGGTTTTTACTAGTTTTACAACCATTTCTCCAGTTTGATTACATAATATCATTTAAAAATTTGTACATAATAAAAATAATTCTAAATCAGTTACTTATTTAAATCTATTTTTTATTAGTCCTCGATTCTGTCTAGAAATCTATACAAAAGAGAAAATATTTATATTTCTTAAATACAACTGTCACACGCTGCATGTATGTACCACGTAACTGCATGATAATCAATATTTTTGCCTAATAATATCACTAATGTTGGCTTACTAGGCTCTCCTGACAGAGATGAATTAGTTCCCGACTCGCCGACCTCGATCTCCACCGACGCCAGTAAGGAGCGTAGATGTAAGAATTGCATGCGCCTGTTTTTATTTTTACACGCGCTTTTATTTTATTATTTAATATTATTATTATTCTATTAAATTTAATTTTTGATTGATGTATAATCTGTAAGTAAATGGTTAATAACTGCCATCGAACTACATCTCCATAGGACAATGGCTGTTTATATTTTGTTATTGTATTTATTAAAAGTAAAGTTAAATTCCTTCTCCATTTTAACTGCAACATATATGCCAAATTTTATGTTAATTGGTCGATTCGAAGCATTATAACGCGTGAAAACTTTACAAACAAATCAATTACGTGTGGTTTTTATTTCTCTTTTTACAATCTTCTCGTTTCTGTTCTTACTTGGTGATCTTTTTTTAAGTACTGTTGGGTTACTTTTAATGTTTGTATCATAACGATATGGTACTACGACCTGGGTTGCTGAATGATTAAGCTGACGATAGAAGGTCACTCCAATATATTTGTAATAGAGTAGTATTAGTCCATAAAGCAATCCATTAATATTTCTGGTAGTTATGATAGTTTAGGTCTCCGATCATGTTAATATAAAATTTTAATACAAAGTCAAATGACATTTTCTGTAATTTACTATTTTCACAGCCCGGCTAGCTCGCGCAACGTCTGAATCCAAACAGGTGACAAGAGCAGCTAAGATTTCAAGGAGAATTCAATCAGTTGACGTTGGTATGTTTTAAGTACAATTTTTTTTAACACTAGCTGCCTCGGCAACCATTGTTTTACACTGTACATTATTTATAGTAAAGAAAAATCATGTCATCTGGGGTATAAAAAACAGCTCTCGAACTACTCTCAGATAGAGTCGGTCAAGCCATTTCGATAATAAACACTGTGAGACGAGATTATTATATATTGAATAAGCATGTAGATTACCATTTTTTTTTTTAATAATGTATACAATATGTAACCAAATGATTGAAATGACCCTTCCTTTCCTCTCGGTATCGTTTATTATTTTTATATTTTATAATTTTGTTACAATGGTACAAACTATGATGTTGCGTTTTTGAATTGTGTCGAAGTGAAGCCGTTTGTTGCCAACATCACGCCGTTAACTTTATTTGCGCCCAGTCGTCAATAGATGGCGCGAACATACCGCCCGCCTTGGAAGCCGCTGCTTTCAATTCATTATTGAAATATATAAAAATTATCAGAATTTGTCGTATAGGTTGTAGACGATGTTGTAGGAGCTGATGATTTATTTTCATCAGTAGATAGTGGCAGCGGGCAAATTTTTGTAAATGCACGCTGTATTTGGCCAGTCGCCGTGCGAATGTCAACAACTCATTTCAACATTGCAATGACAAAGCCGCATGACAGCTTGCTTTGTCATATGTGTTTTATTTGCGGGGTGCGATATGTAGGATTGCAGTATAATTACAGTATCCTCTGTACTGTGTACAGACATTTTAGTTCTGAATAGCAAGGCATGAGTGATGACACGGGGATCACATGATAACATGATGCCGTAATGCCATTGATGTATATTGTTGTTGTTGCCACTTACAATCAGATAGCGTCATAATGTTTGCTATTCTAGTTACTTAGAAAAAAAAAACGTTTACACCCTATAGCACCCTGTATCTGTATGTTTATTTTTTTCGTCAACTGTCGAGTATATATAATTTATTACATAATTAATTTTTTTAGGGTACCAACTATAGCCACTTACAATTAAACGGGCCGTCCTAGCCCCAAAAATAAAAATTTTTACGTCATTCTAAATACAGTTCCTACGTTTTCCCTTAGCTGTGACCCCCGAGCATGGTTCACCAGCGCCAGGTGCCTCGAGTCCGGGCCGAAGTCGACGTGCCTCATTCCACCGCGCGTGTGAAGCACTACACACGCCCAAGGGCAGGCGAACGTCAACCGATGTCAAGGTAAATATCCCACACTAAGCTTAGCTTATTATAGTATACAATCCCATAGTATACCACCTACTATACAACCTTTAGGTGATATGGGATTGTTAGTAATGAGAATTAACGTAATGACCAAGGGGTCATTAGCAGTGGTGCTAGCAATATATTCTGACATTGTAACCTCCACCTGGAAAACATAGTTATTAATATTTCATGAATTTGACACAATAGCCTAACTGAAAGAAGACTATTCAAAGGGCGCAATTATCTAGTGGTTTAGCACACCACCTTACTTCCGATAGTCGCGGCTTCGATTCCTCGCATAATGCAAACATTTGTATTCATGAGTATCATTGTATTCGTCTCGGTGTTTTCTGTACTTATCTATACATATAAATAAAATTGGAGTGTAATTATAATTATAAAAATTTTTTTTTTTTACAATTTTTGACGGTCTGGTTATTTTTTATGGGACTCTTTTGGCAGGTAGCTGATGTAATAAGGAATGACTTAGGCTACTTTTATTTCAGAAAAATAAAGTTTAGATCCACGCGGACGAAGTCGCGTGTACAGATAGTTTACAATAAAAATGTATTTAAGTAATTATATCAGCTGTCTAGTATCCATAGCACAAGTTCTGCTTACTTTGGAACTAGATGGTGCTATATGGATTGTCAAGGATACTTATTATTTTTTTAGGTTTTCAGATTGTCTATAATAATATATAAATTCATTTTAATATGCTCATATTAATAACATGGTATTGCATTTATAAAAGGGCGAGACGGACAGTCCACAAGGGTCGGAGGCAGCAATCGAGACTAAGACAATTACACCGGCACGGAGACCGCGCAGAGTCTCCACACAGTCCAACACCAGTCAGGCTGCCTCAGAAACTAGCAAGAGGTATAGAATGTCCTTTAAATATTATAAAAAATATAATTTTGTTCCATTAAAATAATACTGGAATCTTGTCGAAATTAACTTTTATATTAACCTTTAATTAACCATTGCGTAAAGTAACGCAATCAATTACAAAAATTCTATAGAAATTCTTGTACCCCACAAATTAGGCAGAAACCATATAGACAAAAAAAATATGATCGAATTAACGATAAAGGAGTAGATAATATTCGGTTGAAAGAAAATATATTCAGACCATAATTAGCTTTGAAAGTAATTAAATTAGATCCCCTTCTGATTTATAAATATTATCAAAATTCATTCAATCAGTAAAGATGTCGTTTAACAAACACTGTACTCGAGAATCTGAATTTAGATAAAAATAACCAAAAACTACTAATATAAATAACAATTCTAGTTTTCTTTTTTAAAAATCCCGTTTAATATATTTGCGTTGTGTAAGGATTTCGGTAGACCTAAACCATAGATTCAAATTTCTTGAATAAATATAAAAAAATGTGGTGTTTCAGGTCAAAAAAAACGTCAGCAGTAGAAGAAAGTAAGGATAGTAAGAAGTAATATATAATTTATTTTTCTCTTATTTTTACACTATTATATTTAGGGTACTATTAAGTTTTGTTTTGCATTTATAAATAAATAAAATGTGATTCTGGTGTTCTTGTTTCATTTGAAATTAGTAACAAAAAAAAACCGACATCTTGGTAATGAAAATACTTTTATTATAATACAATTTAGTCAGTCAAAGTAAATCACTCTTTTTTACATCTTAATGTTTTACAACATCATAATTTCACGATTATATACGTTATATAGTTACATTACCATTTTTACATAAATTATCTAAACATTAACAAAGCACATGAGATCACAATGTTACATTATAACGAAAATACTAACAATGTGTGATATTGTCCTAGTTTTGACACAAATCACAAAATACTTAGTGCCAGTAAGTTCCTATAAAATAGTTACTTCCACAGTTTAATTTCAACAAGTGTTATCCCTGTTACAAGTTTTATGTTCGTATATGTTCTATCATAATATAAGTAGATAAATGCACTTCCTTTCATATTAGCAACAAAAGCATTGTTATCCAAACCTTGCTGTTCAATTGAAAGTCTACCAGCCAGATTTCTATGTTTCCTATCTTTTTTTGTCTTTTGCATCGTAATTTTTCAGTGACCGCCCGATGTGATGGATTAAATTTGTATCTAGCGGTAAATTTTTAGGCAATCCCAAGTCATTAAAATCAACTTTCGGAAGAACATAAGTTTCAGAATTTTTTAGTTGTGGTATATCTACAAGGTTCTCGCAAATTTCCTTATCATCAGGTTTCAATGATGATTTTTCTGTGCAATCCACTACTTCTCTCTTCTGTCTAAGGAGCGCAGGCTCATTATTAGACTGTACATTATTATTTAAAACGCTATTTTCTTTATTTAAATTATTAATCAAATTGGCAGGTTGAATTGGAGCCTTGAGATTTGTATTAGCAACCTGTTGTTCTATGTTATGAGGGATCTGTACATTTTCAATTATATTGTGTGGAGAATTATCTTGTGCAATCACGGGTAATGGTGCATTTTTAATTACATTAGATTGAGGATTCTCTTGTATAGGCAATGGAACTTTTTCATTAGCATTATTAATACCAACGAATTCCCGTTTTTGTGCCTCTTCGCCTCTTTGATATGACTGTGGTTCATCCGGAGAGTGTAAATGTTCTTTAACTGAGTTTTGTTCCTCATCATTTTTAACCTCTGTAATCGGACCTGGATTGACTTGCTTGAGATTATTTATCACTTGTGTATTTGATGGTAAATTATTATTCGAAACTAACTGTGCTACATTTGTATTTATGTTAGGTACCTGATGTACAACTTGTTGTTCAACTTTTGGTTGCATATTTGCAGGTTGCATGTTAATTATCGGTGGACCACTTTGTACAAGTTGACCTTGATTAGGATTAATTACTGACATTATTGGAGCCGCGGCATTATTTTGAATGGCTCCTTGGACATTTGGAATGGAATTAGCGACTGGTGGATTATTAGATTGAATGTTATTGCCATTTTGAACCTCTTGTAGACTCTGAATAATTGATTCTGCATTTTGATTAATATTATTTTGAGTATCGCCAGGCATGTTAACATTTATGGGTGAAATCGCATTTGAACCTACACTTGGTATATTTAAGTTAGAACCTGATTGTTCTAATTTTTTTTCAGTGTCTTTTATAGTTTCTATTGTTTCTGCAGCTTTTTGAGCTAATTCCTTCGCTGCTTCATCAGCTAATTTTTCTATATGGTCTGGTTTTTTAGCTTGCTGGGCAGGTTTATCAGACACTCCGCCTAAACTTTGAATTGCCATATCGGCAATCTTCTTTATACTTTCAACAGCTATCTTCTTTGCTTCAGCACTATCTACTTCATTTTTGTTCTGTTGTAATTCTTTCTTTGTCTTTATAATGTCATCGAGAATTTCTTTTTGTTCTTTAAGTAATTCTTTTTGCTCTTTTCCATGCTGTTTGATGGTATCTATCAGTTGTTGCTGTTTAATCATATTTATTTTTTCTTCATTAGAAACTAATTTGGATTTATCCTCCTTTGAATTTTCCTTTGCTAAAATGTTATTGTTAATGTTTGTTTCTATATTATTTTCGCCATTAGATATTTTTGCACCATTCAATTTATTTAGATTTTTTGGATGTGATTCCGAAACCTTATCTACAACATTTTTAGTTTCTGGCAAAACTTCACTGAACTTATTCACGTCTTTTACGACACCATTATTTTTTATTTTTTCATTGGACTGCGCTTCAGGGGGCAATGGATTAGGTGGTTGTACTACTGAATCTTTAATGTCATCTTCGTGCGATTTAATTACGTCTTTGGGTTCATTCTTATCTATGGGTTTGTCTATTACATCTGTAATAAGATAAATATTATTAATGGTATATTATACTAGCTAAACATATGATTTATACGACTTCATTAATACATACTAAACTAACAATCACTGAATACTAAAATAAACATCTATTATACATTCTTTGTTGTGTCTATTGCGTTTGTTAGTTCTACGAGCCTTCAGATATAAATATTTTGAACCATTTCCATTGAAAATATGTTTCTAAACAATAATACCTAATACATACCAAAAAATATATATATACAATAAATAAAATATTACCATCAAATTTATCCATTTTTTGAAAGAAATCCTCAACAATCTTATCAATTTTTTCCTGTGTGATATATTTATCGTCATACTTGTCCACGCGGTTTTCGGCAGCTTGTAAATTGGCAAATGTACCAAGTACTAAAATTATAAGGCCCAAGACTATGACGCCCTGAAAAAAATATTTTATATTAGACTGGAAATAACACGCAAATATGCTATATTTACATTATTAAAAATATATCTTCGTCTCAGTGAGTTATAATTGGAGCACAAGACTACAGTCGATAGTGTCATTGGATAAAATGGCCAATCAATATCATATTATCATTTTTATTAAAAAAATTCAAAGGAAAAAAACACTGATTACATATTGACCAACTTCTATGATCCTTTCAGTAGTCATTATGGTTAAAATATAAATGTTATGGCCGGATTTTTATAGACAATATTTAATAATAGGGTTCGAGTTGTTTTTTTATCTAAAGGAACAAAGAGAATAAATTTTATTTTTGTTTCTAATTGATAAATCAAAGATGTTCATTATCAGTAAATAACATGGGCTGTATTTTATTAAAAAAAAAAAAATGTCCAACTGTAAACGTCAAATTGTTGATATATTTTAAAGCCACACTCACCTTTGCTAATATCCTCTCATTAGTATTCTTAAATGTAACATTAACAAAACAGGCAGCTGGAAACACCAGGCATACGAGAACACCTATAGTGGAGCCAACCAAACCGAGTACCAGTTCGATGTTCGGTATAAGCAGACTGATGAATAACGTCACTGCAATGATGGCAACAGTGATACACCGGAAGGAACTTTCTGGGATTGAATTGTTGATCATGTGGTCGTGATGAGAACTGTGAACCTGAAGAAGAAAACTTAATTGTTTCTAATGCGTTGTGTTTGACGGCCTCGGTGGTCTAGCGGTTGAGCACACCGCCTTATTTTCGATGGCCACGGGTTCGATTCCTCGCACGGTAACATCAACAAATTACAATGTTTCTGACTATCCCATGTATTACAGTTGTGATTGTTATTATTTATATAACTTTAGTGTACGCAATAAATAAAACTGTACCTTACATCTTTTCTGTCACTACAGTGCAGAGAAATGTTGTTAGCGGTGCAAATATAATAAATATGAAATAACATCGCATAAATATATATGAATTATAAAAAATACATATCATAATTACCTTTTTATATAGCAGTGAGTAAAGGCTAGCTCTACAGGGGAATATTATAAGCGGGAAACTGAATGCAACCGACATTACGAAGCCGAGTTTGATCACATCACTCGCCAGAGTAGGGCTCAGGCTCATGAGAATATTTCCTGAAAAATGTAGTAATATCATTTAAAAACTAAAATAAATGTTCCCCGTCGTATCGAGGGCACAGAACTATACCAACTGAAATACTGTTCATTACATAATTTATCTATGAAACTTATTACCGTAACTTAAAAAAAACATATAGTTGAAATTTGTTTTACACACTTTTAAAGTTTACAGGGCACTTGTAACATACCCTAAGTTACAAATTTTAAATGAGTGCCAACTTAATACGCCGAAAGGGCTATAATTTTGATTTCAATTTTAACAAAAAATTAATATATACTATGTATGCCCGAGGTTTCACCCACATGAATTTGTAGCCGATATTTTTTTTTTTTTTCTGAGTCTATCCTGCAATCAGTCGGAGACTATGAACAGATGTGGTGTAGGTGTTACATTGTAGCCGATATGTTATCCTGATATATAAGCTATACTACTGTAATGTTTTATCAAAATCCTTTCAGTAGTTTTTGCGTGAAAAAGTAACAAACATCCAACCATCCGTCTATCCACTCATACTCTTAAACTTTAGCGAATAAGACATAGTCTAATATTTATTCCTCAGGAATAACAATTTAAAGCAGTACAATGAGAGACAGTGCATTATTCATTGTCACAGCAGCAGCAGACTTGCTATTCTAGTGATATAAAAAGAAATATAGGTACCTCTAAGTGGAAATGTTCACCTTGAATAATTATGTAAGTGTTGTTTTATTAAACAAAAAGAATACTTGCATATAACATAATAAGGTTGTATATTTCTTACCAGATATCTCTTGTGAGTTGAATGCGATGTATCCAAATACACCAAGTGTGAAATATACACCTGTACAAATATTGATAGCATTCTTTGTAACCACGTTCATTTTCTCCAATGACAATGTGGGCATGGACTCGAATATTTCAAATAGTTGCCTGCAAGGTAAATAAAGTTTTCTTTAAACACTTAATATAAGCCATGGACAACACTTTAAATGAAATTAATGAAAGCGAAAATACACAAGTACCATACCCACTATGCATTATATAAGGAAATCGGAGTTTATATTTAACCGAAAGCCACAGATTAAGTTGTCGTGTTTCACTTCATTAGATATGTATATGTGTGTATAATAAATTTATTAGAAACATACAATATGGGTGTAGTTTGGAAGCCTAGTGTTGACTATTCAGCGACTAGACTATGACACTAGGAATTAATCTAGTAAGAAATTAAATTTACTTTCGCATAATCATAAAATATATACAGTAAAATATATTACATAACATTATTATTTAAATAAAAATATGCTATTTATACTGTTTCCATTGTTATATTTCTATTTTCAAATCTCACAACACTCACGTTTGACAGAAGAGTGCCATAGAGAATATCGGCACACATTGCAACACTCCAGATGGCTTCCACATCTCGACATGAATGTGCCATTCACCAGTTAGCAGTTGAGATGCAGCCTCTGCGATCACCTGGAAGCACAATGCTTTTATAAGAATAACAAACTTTTAAAAATCCAAATTAATTCACATTAAATATTAATATATAAAAAAATCGTATAATATATACGTTTATATATTACAGTAATCTTTTTTTAATGTAACTAGAATTGCAAACAATCTGACGGACGGTAGTGAGTGGATACCGTCGCCTATATACATAAAGGTCGTAAGCAGACATGGCATCATAAAATGACCTCCATTGTACTCCTTACGCTTTGCGGAAGCACGTAGCACGAATTCCGGCGCACTAATATGTTGTGCCTACATATACGTTCTGTCTTTCTACCCTGAAATTTCACTGCTATATCTCATAATCCAAGCGAAACACGAACAATTTCGTCAAAAAATCTTACACTATAAGCATGATAGTCTAATGATGTTTAATTATTCATGCAAAAACTACTCGACAGATTCCAATAAAATGATACACAGATAGACTGTATATTGTTTACATGGAACATTTTTACACAAACTCACGAGAACCTCAGGAAAATCTGGAATAATTATAATTACCTTTAAAACAAGACAGAAATAAAATCCAATGGTGGCCGCACTGACGTTGCTCAAACTATCCACATTTCTCAACAATCCCAATGGTAAAACACACAACAATGATACTAAGACCATTATTGATGTCCTGCAAATAGAGAGAAATACAAGAGACAATAGGATAAATGTTAGATAAAAACCACTTTCTAATTACTAGAATTGCAATTATTAACATTAAAGAAACAATAACTGTATTTTTATTACCTTAGTATATCACTTTGATTTATATTAAAAAGTTTGGAGATAATTTGTGGCCCAAGATCACCAACCACTACAAAGTAGGCTATACAAGTGCCCATTAAAAAGCCAATGATCCCGACCTCCACTGCCAACTTGCCAGCTGATCCAAATACATGAAAGGCTGCAGAAAACAACATTCTTTAATGAGTATATATATAAAAAGTAAGAAGGAAAATATGAAGAGAAAAAACACATGTGAAGAGATAAAACAACTAATATTATACAATTTAAAATTACAGCCCTAGGAAACATAATGTTGCTTTAATTTTTGTATTAATTTTCTTTTCAACTTACCTAAAAATTCAAAATTTCTTCTTCTTGCTAGAAGTGCTGATTTTAATAGAAAGTAACAGCATAATCTTGAAACTAAACCCATAGACAGCAATATCAAAGTTGCTAACAAAACTCCACACTGTAAAATATAACAGTCATTTAAATAATAACAATAAATAAGAACCATATCATTATTTTTTATTCCCTAATAGTTGTTTAAAATCTCTTTGTAACCTTTTAATTATATTATATAGTAAATAAGATATTTTATCAATATATACTTATTTCATGTAAATTACAAAACAAAATCATAGAAAACTCAAACTGAAATGGATATACACTATGTGTTTCTTATGATTTATGTCTCTCTAAATGTGATATTAGTATACGACAATAGTAATAATAAGTTTATGTAATTTCTGAGAATATTTTGAACTGTAAAATAAACTTTTAAATTGTTTCTGTGTGAGTTAAGTCACTTCTGCTAACTTATATTGCTAGTGCTTATGTTTGGTTTACTGAACATTTACGTATGCGAAATCACATTATTGAATTCATGATATAATTTTGTATTGACCAAAAAGATTTAATATTAACAGGGACATCAAGGACATGTAGGGAAAAGAACTCACTTGCTGAAAACAGAAGGGCATAGCCAAAATGCCTACACCTATTATACTGTTGGCTAATGTTACAGATTGGCCGGCTGTGCCCATTTTTTTGTATTTATTTGTGCACTATACTATAATAACTTTTGTAGACATAATAAAGGAATTGTTTAATAAGAATAACCATACACAGGTCATGACAATTTAGACGAATGAACAATCAATGTTGACAGCGAGTATGTAAAAAAATGCCAAGTGTTACTAAAAGAATGGCCAATGTTATTTTTTTTTAATACATATAATATTATCTCAGTAATATTTTACCATATTTGACTGTGAGCATAATTTAGGTTTTAATTTTTAGAAAAAATCGTCTGTAGAACTTGGAAAAATATTCATATTCAGATGTAAATGAAAGCATATTCACAGCAAAATCCACAATTAAAATTTTCTTCGCAGTGAGTTAGTACTAACTAACACTGTGTGATGTTCTTTGCTGCGTATGTTAGGTATACAATTCAATAAAAACTCTAGGTAGAAACAACAAGGTTATTTTCTTTTATAAGTTGTAAAAGAAAATAAACTGGAAAATAAAATAATATTTGTAGACAATAAACTGTTATCAGGTATTAAATATTATTAAAAAGATAAGAGAAGATAAAAGTTTTTATACGTATCTTAGTACACACTCATAGGTTTAATTACAAATAGTATACAATACAGAACATTTAAACCCGTACAATAGATTTGGGATAAACCTGTATATGGATCGTGCATGTGCATGTAGAATCAAGTTCAAGGAGCAAAACATTGCTTTCCAGCTAGGCAAGGGTGAATGAACTATTTTAATAAAATCCTAAAGAAACAATATAAAATAAATAATTAATAATGGAACTTGACTTTGGAGTTACAGATAGAAGTAGGTACCTGAATTTTATAAAAACTGAGATATTATATTTATGTTTTTTGGTTATTATGTCTTGGCGTCTTAACAGATCAATCGTGTCTTATATTTAATAGTAGCAAATAGTATATTTCATATACAGAAGAACACAGTACTTTATTCAATTAATATATTCTAAATACGCATACAATGATGTTAATATAACTGGTCTTTCTATAAACATCATAATAATGTAATACTCTAAAAGATTAAATACACCAAAAGACCAAATACATCAAAATAAAATAAAATCGTAAACAGAGTATGCTTTAAATAAAAAAATAGGCTATTTCAGCCGTAATATAAATTGTTACATATGGTAACATTGATATTTAATGACGTTATGAATAAAGTGACATATGATGACATTTGCATTGACATTTGTAAATTCTTGTCAAATGTCGTAGATAGAGCATATTATGCTTTATCTAAGCCATATTTCAGGGACTCAAACAGAATCAAACATTTTTGAGAAAATCCCGAAGCAAAAAAAATAGCAGTCATGAAATCACTATGGTGACAATTAAACTATAAATTTGCATATTCTCTTGCATTATAATCTACTTCCTGACCCGCGCAAGTGTCTGCATCACACTTACATTAAAATTTTATCAAAATCCGTCCAGTAGTTTTTGCGCGAAAAAGTAACAAACATCCATCCATATATTATTATTATAAACACGAAATTTCGTGAGTATGGTCTTATAATATCATTAAGATATATTGCCCGTTGATTATTATTAATATTTGACGGCCTCGGTGGTCTAGCGATTAAGCATACAGCTTTACTTCTGATGGTTGCGGATTCGAGTCTTCGCACGGTAACATCAACAAATGACAATGCTTCTGACTATCCCATCTACAAATACTTGTATTCATAAATATGGTTGTATTAGTGTCGATGTTTTCTATTTATATAATGTACTAGCTGTTACCGCGACTTCGTCCGCGTGGAATTTATTTTATACTTTTTTTCTAAAATAAAATTAGCCTAAGTTACTCCTTATTACATCAGCTACCTGCCAAAAAAAGTCCCCTCAAAATCGGTCCTGCCATTTCCGAGATTAGCTGGAACAGACAGACAGAGAGAAAATGTATTGGCGTATTTCGGATAATTTGAGGGAGTAAACTACAAGCATGACGCTTAATAGTATAGGGATTTATAAATTAAAACAAATTAGCAGTTAAATATTGATATTGTGTATATTTAAATTATTACTCTTTTATTATTATTTCTTTGGTACACTAGGAAATATAAATTGATAGGCATTCATATTAACTCACTGCTAGCTGCATCACCTATCAACGTGCAATTCGGAATTTGAATGTAAGCATACAAATAATAAAATCTATGGCGGGCATGAGAAATTCTTTGGTTAAAATTTTCAGTTTCGCGATAATAATATCGTTAATACTACTAAAATTACATAGTTAAATCATCAATAAATCTGTCTATATGTACACATTACATTTTATATTATAAATTACACATAAATATGGATTTTGTATAGTAGTCAATTTGCCAAAACCATAATAGAATTACATTATAACACGTTTTTAGCGCTATTTTCTAATTTTCCAGCTTTATTTCGTAGGTCTGTGTTGGAAAAAACACGTTATACTTACAGGGGTAGTTGTAAAGGGTTCACAAATCTAGTGATAGAATTGATGATACTAAACACTATTCCCCAAGAGGTCTAAAGATTTTTTTTAAAATAATCAAATAAATAATAAACAAAAATAATCAAAGCTATTAATGTCTTCAATTTAAAATCAAAAGTTCAAAAATATATTTTTTTTTTACTTTGTTTCATTATAAAAGTGGTTCTTTCATAAGTATTGACTAGTTATAACCCTTTAATACTAACCCTGTATGCAATAAAGTATTTTTTTAACAATACAATGTTTTAAATCCTAATTTTTATGGTTGCACAATAGCATTTCTAACTAGTTCAATATAATAGGACACATTATTTTCTAAATTTATCTTTATTTTGCACTAATATTTTATAACTATATGGTTTTGAAAGTTACAGCCCACAGTACGAGGATAGATGATGTAAAGGCCGCGTCGACCTCACCCTTAAGACTTTTGAATGAATTGGTTTTAACAGGAATAATTTTGTGGTAAATAAAACCTCTCTCATAAAGAGCTACGCTAGTGCAACCTAGTGGAAATGTCGAGAGAGGTAAATACATTTATTTAACATGAAATTATTAGTGTTAAAACTAGTTTGACTATATTAATAATGTGTACCCAACGCGAGTTTAAAAATAGGAAGGAAAAGAACAATTGTCGCGAATAACGAATACATAAGTTCATTAAATTCCAGTACTTAGTTATGATATAGATATATTAATTATATACATACAAACTATACGTATGTGACTGTAATCGCAGATGTAATGAAGAAAATTTGAATGTGATAGGGAGGGACCTATCGGCGTCTCATCTATATATACTGACAGACGGTTATATTTATTATAATATATATGTATATTGTTATCCTATTCGTAGGTAGTGTTTGTATTGAGGTGGAAATATAAGGATAAGATTGCGGTAAAAAGGTGTCGGCTGGAGGCGACATTCCTGGCTGAAAAACTTTTGGGAATGCTTTAGTTGCAGCACACGTCCCTCTTTAGAGCAAACGCATCAAAATTAAAATTTACCACATGTTGTCTAACCATATAGGAGTGGAATATACGAACTATTGAAACATAATTGGTACTGCTAGTAGACAATCATGTCTTAAATTTTGCGTTTTACAAAACTTCCCTTATTGCATGTTTTGTCTTTATACAACTGTCATGTTACCTTGCCGCGCTTAGTTTTGTCTTTTTCTAATATCACACAAGCATGACCACATATTTTTTATTATCAATGTAAAATTTTGTCAATGTAATTGATGATATCAGACTGATAATATGATTAAATTATGTTACAAATAGTTTTTTACAAAATTATATTATGCATGCGGGCTTCAAACCTGCATGCATAAATATAAAAATTCCAAGTTTATTTTTATGCGTGCAAGTTCATAACAGTTTAGCATATTCTGAGCTGGAACAATAAAAAAAAAAGAGAACCCGTGTCTATACATACTAAAGATGTAAAGACATGTAGACACTTTCTAGGGGTAGGTGGGAGTTATTTTTACGATCTGTTATTTCCATTATATATATATATATATAGTAACTTCATTATATATATTACTAGCCTATAATTATACTTATCCCTATTTTTGGATTCTACAGCAGTGCTAAAAATAAATAATAATTTACTATTTATAGGAATATTTTCCTCTAATATTACTCATACTGTTTCAAATAATCAATCACACTTAAATCTAAAATAACAATTGAGTTCCTTAGCAAAATATTTATACAATAAAACAACCAATGGCACTGGGTAATTAAAAAAAACATAATACATAAAACAATAACATATCCAATCAGCACAAATTACATTATTCAATGAAAATCAACTTGAATAATTAGAAATTTTGATAAAATAATAGTATAAAATGGAAGTAAAAATAAATTAAATACAATAATTAGATTTTTTTTACATAACAATCAATGGCACATTCATTCAGAAATTTCAAAATGCAAACATAAATTTAACTTAAAGCTATAATTTTAATAAATATTGAAAATAATTTATACATCTTTGGACTCATCACTTTGTTTAAAGGCAAGCATAAAATACACTCTCAATAATTCAGAGCTAAATGTCGACAAAAAGCTATTTTTTTTCTAACGATATCAATATGTGATGCAAATATCTACTATGTGAATTTCTTTTTTGATAATTACTACGAGGTATTAATAATTATGTAACCTACCAGAGATTGTATTCTTAATCCTTAACACCTACTGGTATTCAAACTGCATAACTGGGTCTTCCATATTGAATATAGAAGTCGCTATAAACTCCAAACCAAAGTCACCTGCGCAGATCAAAATTTAAATATTATTAAAATTTCTACCGCGCTTTAAACAACACAGAAACTATTAATTTAAATGAAAACCTATAGTTTGCACTTTTTCAGTATTGCAAATTAGTTATAATTTAAAATCTATGTAAATTAAGGTATTTTCATAACTATGTTAAAGAATCTTTGTAAGAAATCTGTTCCTTAGGACCGGCTTTTTGGTTTACTGCTAAAAATCTTTGTAACAAATTAAATTTTACATTTAATGGATGGATTTAAAGCAGAATTTAAATATTAGAAAGCAAACAGGCTTTTTTTTAAATTTCTTTCTTTCAATAAAATTAAAAACACCTACATAAAAAACTATTTTAATATTTTTTAATAACATGTATAGTAAACCTTTTAAGAACTTTTCTTTTCATCAGTCAAAAGTTCTAATATGTCTTCTGTGGTTTTATTCTCCATTTTGAACTTCTCCAACTGGTCCTGTGGTACGGTTCTGTCCAGTAACATCTGTATGTTCGTTTTCAGACGATGCAAAGGCGTCAAGCTCTCATCCTTGCAAGCAGTCAGACCCATTCCACCGAGAGATTCGATAAGTATATCATCGATTGAACGTTTGTTGAAACCTAACAGTAAAAATATATATTATAGGGCTGTCTCAGTACAATTTTTTTTTTTAAAAACGAATGACGAAATAATATAGAAATGAAATTAATTAATTCTAAAATTACAGACATATTTGGACCAATTAAAATAGAATAATAGTGGTTCGAATTATGCAACAAAAAAATAGTCATTTTTTGTTATAGCCTATCATTACAGCATTTCAGCCCACTGTTGTACGTTAATGAAATTTTAACTTTATACTTACTGTATTACCTATATCATTAAATCAATTTACAAATGTAACTTAAAAAAAGATAATAAGGGGCCTGTTAAATTAATGTTTTCAAGAATAAGGGTATTACTAAATCAGTTGATTATTATACTTTAATAGAGGCTCCATTATATGACATGAATATGTAGTTTAGAAACAGCTAGTATTTACAATGCAGAAGCTTACATCAAAATTAATACAATAATTTAAAAAAAATCAAAGGAAATACTATAATAGTACTAGCATACCACAGGATATACACTTATTTATAACTTAACTATAATTAGCATTCAGCCACCACCTCCAGATCGCTTTTCAATGATAAAATCAGAAAAGCAGTTTTGTAATTTAACTCTCAACAAATAAAGACCATATTCCAACCTTCCTCCCATTCAATCCCATCACCACACCCAACACCAGATATTAACAACAAAATGGTCATGAACTCACTCATAATCATTACCCACGATCACGTCGTTATCTCCATGTTGCCTGATACAATGACAAGTATGGTTGCTAGAATAAAAACCACGATGATCAAGCTACGCAATGGACATGTGCTGACAAACAATCGCCGCACATCACATAAGCATACATACTTTCAATTCATTAGATAAGTACCTACATATTATATTAACTATTAAGTTTCCCATAATTGTGTCATTTAAAATTTTTTAACCATAAGCCTGTAATTGAAATAAAATATATAAAAAATATTTTGGTTTGGTATTTTCTTAAATAAAACATTACAAAATAAAAAAAGAATTTAGTTAAAGAAAATCCCTTACAATAATAAGTTGCAACACACTCATATATCGTATTATGTATGTTGATTATGTGTATTGTTCACACTCATTCTCAATGATGTGCACAATTAGTTATTTTGACCTTGTCAGTGAAAATGAATAACACACTGTAATGAGTAGGTATTGTAGAAACCCGTTGATGTCTAATGTAGGTGAAAAATTGGTTACGTAAAAATTATATGGGCTAGTGTTTTATTACACAGAAATCAATCAATAAAATGGTACTTGCTTTATATTTTTATAATGAATTCATTACTGTCGCGCACAAACACACAGTAAGCGTAGTTTCCACACAATCAAAAACAGTGCAGTCAAGTATTTTGTGTAAAAAATTGGTTTAAATAAAAATGTACGCACCTAAATATTTGAGTTTGGCTTTCGTGGCGATCATAGTGAGCAGCAGTGCCAAGAGGTATCTCATTCGAGAAAGACTCATCGCTGACTCCACTTCGATCTCCTCCGACTTTACAGGGCCGTCAATATTCCCTGCAATTCTTTTTTCTATGTCACCTACTACACAAGTTGTAACATGTTTCTCCAGATGAGCCTTCAACTTAAAAAATTGATTACATTTTTGACATTTATATGCTTTTTCTTTATGATGAATATTACGCATGTGTGCCTTCATATGAGGCAGTTGGGAAAAATACAATGGGCACATAGCACACTGAAATGGCTTTTCTCCTGTGTGTCGCCTTATATGCAGAATCAAAGCATTTGAATGGGAGAAACGGCGACCACAAATCCTGCATGGATATGGTCTATCACCAGTATGAGACCTCAGATGAACATTTAATTGTGTGGATTGTGTAAACCTCTGACCACACCGTGTGCACACATGGGGACGTTTATTTTCATGGACACGCATATGTTCAGAAAGATGTCCTTTTAAATTTTTCTTGCATATTGGACACTGTATCCTAAATCCAGCATGGCATACTTGAACATGTCGTCGCATAGAATTCATTCTCAAAAACTCTTTACCACAGTACTGACAGATGTATTCTTTGACCTTTACATGCTTTTTGACATGCACAGACAATTGAAACCCACCATCGACAAGATGTTGCTTCTCATGCTGTACAAGTATAACATGGTTAGAGAATTTCTTATCGCAATAAATACATTTTAGGAAATTATCATTGCTTATATGTGTTGCTATGTGTTCACTCAGTATTTCCTGTGAAAGGAACCTCCTATCACATATATGACACATCTCATATTGTGGCATTGGCTCACTAGCTGATATCACATTAAGATGTTGTTGCTTTATATGTGCTCTCAAAGTGGATTTCTGACGATACTTCCTTGAACAATAATTACATTTGTGTTGTTTTAAATTCATATGTGTAGGAATGTGCCTGCCAATTGCTGATTTTGTATTGAATATTTTGTCACAATGATCACACTGAAATACCTGAATTGTAGGAATAAGATCATTTGTAATTGATTGATGATTCTTTGATGATTTGTTATCTTGTATTTTTGACTTACATCCAATATTTTTTTTCTGTTTCTTATTAGATTCTACAGTAATATTATTTGACTGTGTACAATTGTCTGAGGACACCAATGTATCATTTTGGTCACTAGTCTCACTGTCATTATTGTTATTTGCACCCGATGTTCTCTGTTTAGCTTTTATATCTTCAATCATGAGTTCACTCTTCAAAATATTATCGAGCAGCTTCAAATGGTCTTTGCTTTTCTTTCTTATTCTCCCACTTCGAGACATCAGTCTATTTGTCAATGACACCTCAAGTTTCTTTGGTGTTTCACTCACAATCATCTCCTTCATCAATGATCCCTTTCTTAGTAATAACTGCATTTTATCATTTGTCACTGATTTTCCATTGCTGTGTCCTTTCATGATCTGTTCAACTGAATTTTTGGTGACACCTTTTGGTTTCCGACCCTTTGGTTTTGTGGATGCACTCTTCAGTGCTTTTGGTCTACTTTTAGCATTAGCCATGACTACTTAGTGAATTAGTAAGCTGTAGTTATCCTATTGTCGCATCGTGATGTTACCACCGTATATCACCCACCACCACCACTTGAGGATAGGAAATAAAAGAGTTAGTACAGTATACAATAGTGAAGTCTATGTTGAACGCGAGACGGGTGCTTATTGCGTACTTACATGCATTGTAACATCGTTAGCATAACTCTAACCACCTCTGGCACTATCGTCGACTTGCAGATAACGAGTTATTCAAACAAATGATGCTCTACCTACTAATGTGTGAAGGACGAAGCCTTTTGTTTTACAATGAGTATTCACGTTCACCTTGTAATATATATTAACACCACAGATAAACTAAAGAAAGAATCCGTATAATTTATGCAAGTATCCACAAACTAAATACATAATAAGTGTATACCTCAAATTTATAGCTTAGAATCAGGTAAGGAGATCACTAACTACAATTTGACATGACTTTACCTTATAGAATTCTTATTTTAATATCATTGAGTTCATAAATAATAAGAATTGCATTGAATTGAATAATGAACTAAACTACGGAAATGATTGATTGAATGAATGGAAGTATATATTACTATATGTACAGTTGTATAAATATATTACTATAATCTTCAGTTGTACAACAGAACGAGACAACCGACTATACAACACTATACCAGTGTTGCCAGATGACATCTGTATTCTCACTTTTCTACAATATCCCAAAATGTAGGTTTTGATAAAAGTTTTAATAAAGTATATCCTAACTTAAAATCCTAAAAGGCCTTATTTTTTGGTACCATATCCTTGCAGAATTTTAAAATATTCCTATAGGTTTGTGAAACTGATAAATTTTTAGGCCTCCTGGCTCACTGTTTCTTAGACCTATATAAAGTTTAATTTTTTCCCCTACAAATCCCCCAAACGTTTCTTTTCCTGTCGTTACAAAATCCTCTAAATTGAAGGAAACACCCCAGAGTGGCAGCACTGCAAAATCGACACAGCACTTAATGATTATCGGCAAACTCCACAGAGTACCCTAAAAAGGCTTTATTATATTTTATCTACAACTAAACTCCAATAAGTCTGTTCAGTAAACTGGCAAAAAATTGCATTGGTACCTAATGCAATTTTTATATAATCAATCCATCAAAATTTCCCATCATGAAAATATATACACAAGGATATGAAAAAAGGGAAATAATAATACTTAATGAATTAATGTCTGTGTAAAACTTATATTAACTCAACTACATATATTACTAGATGTAGTAAATATCTAACGATAGGAATATTGGTCACAAACAACAGTGTTAATGAACATAAATTCAAATAGGTATTTCTAACAATTAATCTTGTAATTGTTAGAAACTTACAGTATTGCCTCGTTTATAAATTTGAAGTCATTCCTAGTAACACTGAAGTACTTGAAATCGAGATATGAAAAGGAAACCAATACAGTACGTCTAAAAATATACAGTAGGTGCATATCACTAATTCTGTAACTTGCAACCCTGACAGTTGACACTGACAGTGACGATCTGTTCCTACCTACAGATGCACAACTCTACACTTAACGAAAGAATATTGATTATATACTGTTTCTTACTATGAATAACGATGTAACGAGTTTAACAAGTTTTACATAAGTTACACTATCAACGTATTAACTCAATTCTGTTCAATTATGTATATTTTCAAGTTAATACTTGTGATAATGGTGATAATTTTTTTCACTTTTGAGTAACACCGTACCGTCACGACTTTTATCCTAGATGGGGTAGTCAGAGACATTGTCAAATATTGATGTTGTTGTGACCGCATCACTTGACATCCCCACATTTCGCAGGGAAGGTAGGCCGCTATATTTTGAATCCACGGTGGCAGGGGGCAAGCCTGCCGTCTTTCTGATTTTTGTTTTTCGACCGAAATAGCGCTTATCGCCAACTGCGCTTCTGAACAAAATCTATGTTATATACCTTTTTATGTCTCCGTGTGTCAACATGAATATTTCTTTGTACTTTTCAATTCTCAGAAATACTTATATTCAATAAAAATATATAATGTAAAGTTTAATAAGAGCCGTAAATGTTGTCTTTAGAGACTTGTACGTACTTATTTGTTGATATCTACACGGTTGTGTACTGAAATTATTTTTGGTACACAATATATTCGTTATGGTTATAACGAATATATTGTGTACCAAAAATAATTATGGTTATAACGAATATATTGTGTACCAAAAATAATTTCAGTAACTTTCGCTGCCATTTCATCCGGCCTATTGCCTTGGCGCCTGTATACATCGTACACTTCGCACACAGGGACAACGGCGTAGGCCTGGGTGTGATATTGGTAATTTGTTTACATAAATGACACATTTCTTTTTTATTTCTGGTGTTGACCAATTTTTTACCTTTCGGGTGTAATTAAGGACATAAAATCACACTAGGTCCTGCTCTCCCTATTTTACATCTTCATACGCGACTTGTGAATTTACATGGACAATTTAGAGAAGAGATAACAAAATTATTGAGAATTCATAATATTCATGATACGATTAAACTTGATTGCTACATAGTATTTTGTTGTACAAAAAATAAAATTTTAATGTAAGGAATAAAACGTGTATGAAAGATACCTAACTATAGCTATAGGGAGCACACATTAGTAAAGAATGAAATGACCTTTTGCAAAAAAAATCTAATGTAGTCGTTAGTGAAATCAAAGCGACTGATAAAAAACTTTGTGTAAATTCATATTTATGATTGACACTCCGGTGAGGGAACACTGATATCAAACCATAAAATAATAAGAGAGACAGTAGGTACTAGGTTCACCTCATACCAACTTGGAATTAAATTTACGAATAAAAACGAAATGTAAGTAGGTATCTTAAATTTTACGTTCACCATATCATCGGCAGTTAACAATACCTCTGCCTACCCCATATGAGACAACAGACGTGTGCGTATGTTAAATCATGACATATTTTTTTACGACATTACTACATTTATTACATATTTACTAAATTACATAAAGTTACCCGACCCATAGCGTTGATGTCTTTAATATTTTAATTGTGGGTACTGTAAAAAGACATCAACGATGGTACTTAGTAGTGATCATGGTAAATGAGTATTTTTTATCTGACTGCTCAAAACCTTTCTGATTAACCCTGAGTGTAGGTAACTAGAAAAGGCTTTTTTATGAAACGGTCTAACCACTTGTGTTACCGGCGTACTCTGGCAGGACGCCATTTGAGATTAATAGGATGAAGATAATATGAAGTCAGTTTCTTTCTCTCTCTCTGTGTCTTCTCTTTTCTGTTTTTATATAACCTGGTTACTTATATTAAGTCCGCTCTGCGTCTTACTGCTATATGATGGAGCTTGCCTTCTGATTGTTCATCCCGAGGGAAGAAGGTATGCGCAAGGAGCGCTGCGGATTCAAGTGAGGTAAGTATCTTTCCACTACTATCTTTTAATAAATTTTCTTGGACTGTTTTAATAATATCATATAGGATACTCAAACACAGTGGGTGTTTGAGTATCCTATATGATATTTCCCAAACTGTCTCCTTTTTCTCTCCCGTGCAGAGAGTCCTTCTAGTTATTGCGTTTTCAATCGCTTTTTTATATGATGCTTTCTTTTGTGTATATTCTTGTATATTAATCATATTCATATAAAATACGGGAGTAAATTCTCTTAGCTAATTGTAAACTAAAAATTTTCAAACTAATATACTTTCAGAATGTCTAGGATGTCGTCTAATAAACGTATTAAAATTGAGTAGGACCACTTAAATTAATGCTGTTTGCGGTCTATGAGGTCTGTTGAAAAGAGATCGGAGTTGTGACATTTTGGATCTCACGCAATCAACAGCGAACTATTTTCAATGCAGTAATAGCACAGATGAAATAACAAGTAATAAATAGTAGATGATTGTTATGTTTACATACACGGATGCGGATTTTTTCAATTCTAACACGACAATAGCATAATCTGAAATAATAGAAATACATTGTGTTGAGCTTGGAAATTAGCGAGCGATCATAAGTGTTTACATTTGTTTAATCTAATTGTAATAATTTTATTCCAATTATCTTAATTTTATGTATTTATGAATAAACATTATTTTACAATCACAAAGTATACTTTAATTGAGAAACGTTTGTACATTTTTCTCGATTAAATCTGTAGTTCTATCTTCGGTTCATCTCTTTTTAGGCTACGATGCCCGATTATACCGACAGGCTGGAAAAATTAGTGAGCTCTGGATAAAAAGTATTTTTATTTTCAATTTAGTTTTAGATTTTTTTTTAGTTCTGAAGAATGTGTCTGATCCAGCAATATTACGTCACAATTAAAAATACAAAAAAACTTATAATTTTTTATGGCACATAGGTAGATGCATATTAAATAAATTTATCTTTTTTTTTATCTCAAATCCAGAAGATTCAGCTAGCAGGTCAATAAATGGGTAAAGAGACGCTTAATTTTGCTCTTGTAATCGTTCAGCCAGTTACCAGTAAATATTACGATTGTATTTTTAAACTGTTTGAAGTGTATGCGCTACTTTTATGGCCCCATAATAGCCCAGTCGCCGAGCACTATACCCTGGACATGGCTTTCCCCATTGTTCACTCACAATGGTGGCTAGCTTGCACCATCAGCGGACGGCGCTCCCGACACGCTTGCACAATGACGATACAATGATGACATTGTTCGTATGACCGTCGTGTGTTTGATTTTATCTCAGATCTAATCTTATTTACACTGTAGGTATTAGTATATTATTCAGTTGAAGCGTTTGTTTAAATGCAGTAATATTTCGACTTATATTTCCAGATTTAAAGTAATATCGGGAAGTATAACTTGTTCCATATTCAGTACAAAGTACCTACAATAGTATGGTCTAACTAAGGTGCCTATGTAAATCTAATTGAATCCGGAGCATTATTGCTTTTAAAAGGTATTACTATTACAATGTTGGTAATATTGAATGGATTCCTTTCGATCAATCCCCCGTCTAATTCAAACAAGGATCGATATTACGATGGCCTGAGCCCAAGTTCGAACCCCTAACGGTGCCCTCAGACTAAAGTTGAATCCGTCAGGCGCTTCATAAATCCTTCTGCGGGTGTAAAGTGCCATCTGCACTCGCCCCCTATCGTCCGGTGAAGCTGTAAAGACAAGCAGCCAGCAAAAGCATTAGGGTAATTATGAATCGAGGTAGTAAACTAGGTCATAAATTTATCTAGTCTACCAACCAACGTTTAAATACAGGAACGTGGAAGAAACTAACTCTTTTGTGTTATTATTTTTGTGGCTAAAACTTTGAAACAATGAAATGTTATATAACATATAGGTACTTTTACGGACCCAAAATTACTAAGATCCTTATCGTTTTAAATAAACTAATAGCAACTAAGTAATACTTGCGTCAAATTTTAGTCTAAATATTTCACGGAAATTTCATAAGAAAAAATGCAATTTAAAACAATGGGTGACCCTGATTACTACACACAATTTATTTTTAGGACAATCAAGCATGGGACAAAGACATGACGAATGTCGGTCTGTCTGCTGTCTAAATAATTTATATACCACTGTAATTGTAAAAACTGCAATTTGGTATGTCCTGCTTAACCCAAAATCTCTTGTTCATTCGGAAAACCATAGAGGTCACCTCAATCAGGTCACTTAGGGAACACTCGTGCATTTCCTATTTCTCAAGTTCTATTAGTGTTATCACCTTTTTTGTGTAGGGGAAGAAGGGTGAATGGCGTTCACTTAAGGAAAACATGGTGTATTTTATAAATTATATATTGCAAATCAAAATTAAGAAAAGTAACAAAGTCTTTAATTATCGAATAACCAATAATTTAACAACAAAAACATATACCTAACTTTATTCTACTAGTAGTAGGAAGACATTATTTAAAAAAACATGTTTGAGCGGCATTGCCCCTGACAATTTGACTATTGACTATTGTTAAAAATTGATTGCATTACCATAAAATGGAATAGTTTGATTATCAGAAATGTATACTTAATATTTAAATAAGCATTAAAATTTTAGACTTATCGCCATAAAACACGTACCTATGCAAAAATTAGTATGGCCGCAAACGAAAATCCGCAATTCACGTTCACATGACGCGAGTTGGCTGTCTGTTTGCATTGCTGTCTTTTAGAGGCTACCTATCCTCGTGCTTTAAGCAACGTGACGTGTTGCTACATTCCATGTCGATAGAGTTACAGAGGTGAGCGCCATTACCCGGTGTGCGCTATTCCACCTCGCTACCCTACCTAACTTGCAGTCGGTCGAATAAGTAATTTTAGGTTTAACTTTATCATTTATCATTTTTACAGACTCAGTGGTCTAGCGATATAGTATGTCGCTATATACGATTGTGGACAAATGTTTGCATCGTGCGAGGAATCGAACCCGCGACCATCGGAAGTAAAGCGGTGTACTAAGCTGCTAGACCACCAAGACTGTCAGTGTAAAACTTGGAATGAAATAACTGTACATCTTTTTTTGTGAATAGGTAATGTAAAATGTAAGTGTAGATAGTAATAAGACTGAAAAATACTGCTTTAGATAAGGACTGTGATAAAGTCATAGTAACAAAGGAAAGGTCGCTCAACCTAACCCGCTCAGCTCGACCGTACGTAATTTGTACGCGTCAACCTAATTTCTATTTATAATTACGTCACAGTCTACTTGCATTACCGGAGACATGATGTCGTCTTAGATAAAAAATAAGGTGTCATCGCACTGGGTGGTACGGTGTCTGTATTTTTAGAAAAAACCGAGATAAAACTTAAGTCTCCTACGACACCTGACAATAGCTACACCCCAAAATATAAAAAAATAATACCTATCTAGTTGACCCGCGCAACTACGACTGCGTCATATTTCCCTCATTTTCGCTACATTTTTTTTATTCTCATTAATTTTTATTACGGTTCCTATTGGTAGTAGTGTAAAGTTGTACGATTTTATTTTATTATAGTTATTATATTATGTTATACCATAGAAATCCTCCTTATAAACTCTTACTTCTTTATAATATTGGTATACATTACACATGTATATTTCAAGATCACAAACAAAAACCGATTGTGATCAAGATCAATAAGGTCGCAGAGTCAGTAGATTGCTACCCTGATTTATAGATTTCTACTGTTTCGCATAATATATATAAATTTAATATCATAGCAATAATAAGCTAAGGACCAAAAAAAGAGTACATATAACAAATGCGTCCTACCCTTAACTAAATGTGTTATTTGTATTGAATCAATAACGGTTCTTTTATTTATTGGATCCAATCGTAAATGCACCTAAACCATATGGTCAATTTTCTATTTCTTACTGACTCTCCCTTAATGGAAAATACCTATAACAAGCCAATCACAGCAGCAGCAGTAAACATTTGTCTTATTATAGCCTATATCTACTGAGTTTTTGGTATGTCATGTGTGAAGTATACAACCAATTATGACGATCTAGTACTTGTGTATTTAAACTAATTTAAAGATTATTATATATATATTTTACTATTTTTAAATTAAAGTATTTATTTAGATATTCTGTGTCTCCGCCTTACTTCCCATGGCCGTGAGTTCGATAACTAGTAAGATATAAACTTTTGTATTCATGAGTATGATTATTTGAATTGGTCTGTGTTTTCTATACAATACCTAATTTATTTAAAAACAATGTATTTAAGTATTTCTATCAGTTGTTTAGTATCAAAAACACAATTTTTTGCTTAGGATGGCACTTTTAAATTGTGCTGGGTTATTATAATGTAGGTACATTGAGTAATTATTGCACGTTTCTATAAGATGTCTCTACGAAAGTAACTCTGTTTTAGAACACTCTACTACCGAAATCTCGCCAACAAGCTATTCCTTTGTTTATTTTTAGAATTTTATTGTGTGTAAACAGTTGTATTTTTTTTTTATATTTAATTAATCTTATTACAATTGAATAGATTCTAATAAAGGGAACTTCTTAATTTTCGCTCTACTAACTTTCGTCTCGCCATTTACAGTTCGCAATTGGTACCTCCTATCCTAGATATCCATGAACACCTGTCGCAAAACGCAAACATCTAGAAGCCAACTATGTTAGTTGCGAGCGGGGATTGTTTTCCAAAGACTGCACCTCTTGGCGTCTTGCTTATTGCAATTTACTTATTTCGCGTTTCGATCCCGCGGCGATAGGAAGTCGACTAGTTTGGCGCCATTTTTGACAGAACTAGATACAACTTTTTTTTTTACTGAATCAAAGGGATCTATATTATTTTCGGCCAGTCTTCTTGCTTTCATGTCTATGTATTGTGGTGAAGATGGTGAAATTCTGGTGGATGTTCATATTCTTTGCGAAAACGGCATCAGGTAGTGATAATGAATTGCCGGACCAAGAGGAAGGAAAGGGTGAGTTTCTGTTTTTTTTAAATACTAGTATACGTAAATGACTATTAATAAAAAAGTTTTAATATTTAGAATAAGTAAAACAATAAGCACATTCATATCTATGTAACAGTTCTAACAGTCCCTTATTTAATTAGTCGACGCAAATCTTATATATATACCACCGCAGCTGCTCTTATATTACCTTCATTCTAGATTGCTTATGGGGTAAGCAGAGAGAGAGAGAGAGAGAGAGAGAGAGAGAGAGAGAGAGAGAGAGAGAGAGAGAGAGAGGGCTACTTAACTCGATACTTATACCACAGATAACATAATATTACATACGATAGATGTTCATAAATATATTCCCTGATTTTATTCAAATTAGAATTAGAATAGATATATTTTCATAATGTATGTGGTATTCAGTATTATATTTTAATTTGAACAAAGTACTACTAGATAGATAAGTAATAAAGAGATTTCGATTAAAAAAGAAAATAAAAACAGGTATATACTTTTATTAACATGCAGCCAAACGCCTTCAAATGCAAAAGGGCGATATGTATAAGAGATTGTAATACCTATTATAGTACCTTTACAATAGTTATAGATATCTGCTCTACTTCTATGCGGCTATCAATAATTATTTAAATAGATGGATATGAATTACAAACCACCAAAAGAAAACAAAATAAATAAATTGGAACTAAAACCGGAGATTACACGGTTTACTTTAGAAATGCGTTTACTTTTTACATTTTCTCACGCTTTCCCTGACCAGTCATAATAATAATATGGTAGAATCTGGTTATACTCATACCCTTCATTATTAGTAGGAATTTATCAATGTAACAAAATTAAAAACAATTGTTAGAATTTTTGTCTTGTTTGTAACATTTTTGTTTTTATATGTAAATCGTAGGTCCGTAAAACGTAGTGTTTAGATTTTTTATTTGTTTGTACATTTATGCCAATTAATACCATAAACGACATAACCTATTTGCAATGTGATTTTTAATTTATCAACAATTGGTTCCCGGAGGACCGCGTGGAGGTCAACCTGACGTTGACGTTGGTACGTCGATAGCGCTGGAACCACTCGTTATACTTCCTTCTTATAATATATAGTAAATTCACAGAATGCACTTTTGTACTAGGTAGATGTTATATATGTTACTTTTATGGATTATAGAGGACTCAACAAGTAGGCACTTTTGAGAACGTCTTCATTTATTAATGTCCTCTAAACAGATCTTACCACAGCTGATAATAATAAAATAGACTAATTAAGAAGATTACTCCTTCCACAATAGTAGACACATACTTGGTATTCATTTGCGCAATTGAATGAACTACTAAATTTAATCTTGGACAGTACTGTTATACTCACGACTTTTTCATGGTGCTGAGCATGAGACAATAGAAGTGAAAACAAATGCATAAGGAAAAATATCGCATGCAGATAACGTAACTTTCAACAAATTGTTAATAACTATAGTCAGCTTTAGAGTAAGAGGTTTTTGGTATGGGACTAACTAGTAACTAGTAAGTATGGGAATAACCTTTTGTTAGAGACGGTAAAGAATTGCCGCAATTAAATATGACAATATATTATACTAGGTATTCGACTAAGATAAATAATATGTCCGTCTTTGCGATACAATCTACCTTCATATCAGTTTCTATTAAAATCCGTACAGCCGTTTCGTAGTGAAAGTAACTACCCCTAGTAGGTACAGACGTAAATAAAAAGCGAGGACTGGGCATCTAAACAGTTCATATGGATAGTAAAACACTTGTCAACAACGCTCTCATTGATACGGGTGATGTGGCGCCTATACTTAGATACTTTCGCTCAGTCAGTCATATGTTAATATTATAATAATGAGTTTCAAATGTTGTAGAGTCGCGTTTCCTTCCTCTGTTTGAAGTAAAACGTTTCGACGGAAGACCACCAGTGCACAGTATCGGTCCCGTTGGGTTGCCGCCGCTAACGAATGTCCCAATTGCTGGTGAGAGATGCTCAGCTCGACTGGAATCTGCACTGGACCAATTGAAGAGGAGAAAAAGGAATCAACCAAAAAATCTAGACACGCCACTGGTGAGAATACTAGATAATGTATAGGTATAGATTGAATAATTAATTAATTAAACTATTATAGTTCAATAAATGCTTATCTTAGGTTAATCAATTACAATTTTGAACTGACTTCGAATATGAAATTCTCATTAAAACGGATTTTTTAGTACAGAAACTTTTCTAGAGATTTATACCACTGCAAATCCGTTTTTTTTTATCTAACGTTAAATAATATTATCGTTACTAAACATTACTGAAGATAGCTTTAAACTAAAGAAATATTATAGTGTATTATTACAATTAATTAATATTAATTTTCTTTTTTCAGAGTCAAAGTATAGATCTGAATGGCTACAGTTTATACCAACAAATGAGAACAGCTCCTGTTGATATGTACGTGACTAGAATGCGTGTACGATTACCACAGAACAGTAATTGGGTACGTGTAGAAAAATGCTACTTCGATCCTCGGAACACCTCCCTGGACACCATGCTTCTGTTCCACGATATAACCATTAGCGGTAATGTTGACTTGTATGACGCTAACGAACTGGATCGTAATCTTCCTCCGAGTCGTAACCTGAGAAGGAATTACGTGGAACCACGTCCATATGACGCACCATACCCTGTAGACACGTACCCAAGACACCCTGGGGGTAATGGCTGCAATATGATCTTACGGTTACGCAAAGCCGGAATCGGTTTCCATACAAGACCTCTAAACCAACAACCCGGAAAGTTCAATGTCAAAACTGATTCAGAATTTGTCGAGCCAGGTTTCATAAGCGTTTATGCTTACGGCTGTGAGAAATATATAAACAGAAACTCCATCAGAAACAAGGATAACCTTCCTTTGAGGCGTAGAAGGAGATCTGATGAATTTACATTTGAACCAGAATTAGAGCAGCGTTATATGGATAAATCTGACAGTAGATCTGCAGATAACAACTGGGATATCATTTATGAACCACGCAGCAATAGAGTTAACTATGAAAGAAGTAAACTTTTCAGGCCAGATGATGATTTGGAGGAGGTAGAAGATATATCTCGAGAAATGGAAGATATATTTACAAAAGGCATAAGAACTCTTTTAACAACTTACATGAAAAAGGAATTGCAACCAGCCATTAAGGATACTCTAATGAGAAATATGGGTTATGTAATATCATATGGTTAGGATTTAGGGATATTAGACAGGTATAATGGGATGTAATGTAATATATAGTACCTATTTATTAGTTCAATAAAGTGTATATTCTATAAATTTTATAAATGAAGGAGGGTATGAATAAGGATATATGAATTTATTAATGAATACCTGCTTAGTCATAGAATTATAATTATTGCTTATATGTACATCACTTTTTCATGCATATCATAGAAAAAGGCATTTTGTTTTGAACAGAACTAATTTAATAAATAAATATAAAACAAAAAAGGCTGTTTTAAATCCTTACATACTAAGAAAAAATATTAATAATAATATCACAGTACTCACAGCAATTCTATCAGATTATGTTGTATTCGAATATATCATAGTGTACTAGTCTAAGACTATAGTATTAAAATTAACTAACTAGGTGTCTGGAAATTATTTCACATAGGAACATTAGGTTTAATATAATTGTTCAGTACAATTCTAAATTAATTAATTAAAACTAGTATTGAATTGAACACCAAACAATACCTAGACTAAAAGGAAATTAAAAGAAAGGAACCCTTGAAACAACATTTTCTAATATATAATTATTACACAAACATGTTAAGTCTGTACTCTCATGAAGAAATGTTTAATTTCATCATACACAGCAAAATGAAGTGCTGTTGTTACAACAGATTTTATCATACTCGGAGCATACCCTTTGTATAGAGCTAAAAACCCTTCTTCCATTATTGTTAACTTCAGGCATTCCATCATTCCTCCACAATACATCTGCCTTCCAAAACTGATTCTATGTTGCTGAAAACCTTGAATTTGCAGTCTCTTCTTCACCAAATCAAAAGGATACATAGCTGTTTTGGCCACTAATCCACTAATTGATCCTGCAATTAAATTAGCTAATAAAGTGGACTCTACTGCTCCTAATATACTTTTTTCATGTCTCTGGAAGAAAACTATTTTATTCATTACACTTTCTGTCAACAATTTGTATACTGCAAATTGTATTCCAGTTTGAGGTGCCACTGGCCCTAATGTGGGTAAAAGTCCTTTGAATAGGGACCTGGGACCTTCATGCTTAATCATAGTAGTGAAAGCATGACTAAAGCCTCTATATGCCTTACTAGTTTTTCTTTCTGCTATTAACCTCGTCCTCACAGTGTCGAATGGGTAAGATGCGACTGTGGCAACTGTTGCAGCAATTCCTCCGTTACAAAAATTAATCCAATGTTTATGTACCATATAAAACTCAGGATCAGATTTTTGACAGAGCCGGCTTAGTTTTTCAAATGTGGAAAACTGTAGAACACCAAATAGAATTGATAGATACTGTGCTGGAACGTGGCCACTCCATAGCGTGGTAACTCCTTCTTCTTTGATGATAGAAGTAACAGCTTGAAAAATAGAACTATACTTAGATCCACACTTTATTGGTTCTAATTGTAATTGAAATCTTATCTTTAAGACATCGAGAGGCTGAGCCATGGCCCTAGTGACTGCGCCAGAAGCTCCACCAGCCAATGCAGATTGATAAATAGATATTTTATCAGCATTGTTATTTAATAATTTTGTCATAACTAAATAAAGTTTCGTTTCTTTTAATGTTTAGATTATGAAATACTGTCAGTCATATAAGCAACAATAAAATAACCTATAAATGTGAATGTCATTCACATTTAATTTTCACAATATTTTAAAATATCATTTTTAAATGAATGATATTTTTTATTTTACGGCATTGGGCAACGTCTATTCAGCTATTACAAATTTTAACAATTCGTTGGTTTAAAAGGACAAAAAGTTATAGTGTCTGAAATTACACTGAATTAAAACAGCACACATTGATAAAAAACGTAACTATTTATGAGTTATTCTGTATTTACTAACCAAATTAATATGTTAAAATAATACATAGTTTTGAGGTAAAAAATATTTTAGTCCTTAGTTATATATATATATATAGAGATACAGCCAGTATCTGTCAAATTTTAATATGGCCGCAATAAAAAAACTTTGTCAAACTGATATTGATTGACGTAACGGTGACAGTAATCTATTTGTGCCTTTGTTTTGTGACGGCTATCGTTGTCTGATTTGTTGTTCATGATTCTTAATGTAAAGTTGTAAGAAACAACTTCATTTTTTACTAATAATTATTTAGATTAATTAAGATTTAAGTCAGTTAATGACGGTTGTCAATAATTGGAATCATTCAATTTGATTAGAAAACATGTCTTCGCCACTGGAAAATCTTGAGACACAATTGGAAATGTTTATTGAGAACGTCAGACAAATCCGTATCATAGTAAGCGATTTCCAACCACAAGGCCAAAGTGTATTGAATCAAAAGATGTAAGAATATTGAATAATATGCATACTCAAGTTATCTCCAGAATTGCGACAGGCTTATAAAGTAATTTATCTTACTTTTCAGACAGTCTCTTGTGACAGGGCTCCAAGAAGTTGATAAACTGAAGTCTCAAGTACATGATATTCATGTACCCACAGAAGTATTTGAGTGAGTGTTATTTAAATGTATATTAAGTATATTTTAAATACATTTTGCAATTGGCTAAATTTGCAAACACAAATTGCATTTCACATTTGCCTTACAAATTTAAATGCAATGAGCATTTTATATGCCACTGTGATAAAACACTTTTTAAATAAGATTTTTAAAAATGAAAACTGCCTTAAATATTTTATTCATTTAGGACATTTTAGCTGCCTATGAATGTCAGGTTTCTGTGTAAAAACACATTTTCCTTACTTAATTGAATCTATAGTCTAAACTGGACAGTTTAGGATATAGATATAATTGTGAAGGTTGGCGAGAAACTCGACTTTGCTATTTTTAAAGCCACTTTAATAATCTCACACATTTATTGTAAACCCTACTGATACTGAGATAATGCTAAATAAAGGTCTTTATTATTACTATTAATAACATTGTTTACTTATTCAGATGTCTATGTCTAATATTTATTAGAAATGCCCTGTCATTATAAGTAATTGTTTAGTGAGTACTTTGCCTTTGCTCAGTAAATATATTAGACTGGGTGATGACATTTATTTAACAGTAATTCCAGAATATCTTTTTCTATGTTATTGTAAAATCAAAGCATAGTATAGAAAGTGATAACAAAAATGGAAAAATGACTGTTTGTACACAAATCATATTTAATGCTTTGTTTTACAGCTACATTGATCAGGGTCGCAATCCTCAGCTGTACACCAAGGATTGTATAGACAAAGCATTGGCCAAAAATGAAGAAGTAAAGGGCAAGATAGACTCATATAAACGGTTTAAAAGTCACCTTCTTTCAGAACTCTCGAAGACTTTTCCAAATGAAATTAATAAATATAAAGCTATTAGAGGTGGTGAATAGTTTAATGAAATATAATACATTTGTACTTTTTTGATATGTAATAGATCTATAAGTAAGTTTTGCTATTTAAAATGTATGCTAGTACTTTCTTGTTTATACTTTTGTCAATTTTCTTTTGATTTCTGTATTCAAAGTCAAAAGAGTCTCCCAACTCATTTGACTCAATATTTGTACTAAGTCCAGTTTTGATGATTTCAATAACAAATAAGAATAACTTAATATTAACAATATGTATTACTGATGTGATAGGAAAGTAGAAAATTGTCCTAGTAGCTCCATTTAAAAATTTGATGGTATTTTATGTACTTATGGAGTTAGCTAGTTTGACTCATGTCACTCTGGATCTTTTACCACCTTTACCATAGATTTGATATTATAATTATAACTTAACTATAGATAATAAAAATCAGATACTGTATAAAATAATTTAAAAGTTTGTTTTATTTATTTTACAGACCTATTGCATAACATAATTAAACATATATCTATAATTTAGACAAAGCTGACCGTCAAAACATTCAGTTTAAAATAAGAACCATAAAGAAAAAGTTGAAAAACAAGAATATATTGAGTAAAGAATGAAGAAATACTTTTCTCTATTAAAAAGTAGTTACATCCTAAGTGAATTGTATTAAATAGAAAAGGTATTAGCAAATTAGATAAATTAAGCAAAGGCCAGCTTTGCAAAGCACCATTACTAGAATTATTTATATTAAAACATTTTTAAGGTCTATTTATAAATATTAATAATAAATTCATTTGATTAAAGAGTCTTTTGCATAAAATTACAACTTGATTATAGTATTAATTAAACAATTGAAAACAATTGGGAGTTATTTCAATTTCATTAATTATATGGGGTAATTACATTATAAATATTTCGGGTGTAGTTTGAGTTTCTCTAAGCATTTGAATTTCAGTACTTATTTCAACACTTTCAGTACTTAATAAGTCTTGAGTGATTGAAGTTTCCAAATCTTTATGACTAGATTGGGTGTTGATATCCATATCACTTGAGTATTCATTCCACATTTGATAGAACCCACTCTTCACTGGCTCAACCAATTGTGTCTTTGTAGTTATGTATACATAGTTCCAATGGTCAGAAGAGCGGTCATCACCCCAATTAAGAGTTCCAGTCATGAGTACCCTGTCATCAACTAGGCAAAACTTGTGTTGCATCCTGTGTACATGCTCGCTCATTTTATATCTAATTTTTGCGCCTGAAAAGAATGTACATGTTACCAGTTTATAGCTTCATATAGGTAATATGTTTTGGAATACCAAACGTTCAATGTAAATATATAATTAAATAGACTTTATTTAATATAGGTACAACATTATATCGATTTGAAAGGTATTGTTAATCCTTATTTAACGGAAACAATACATTAGATTTACCTAATTATCTGTTATAATTCATGCGTTAATTAGGTAAAATAAAAATATAATAAACCGCCCCATCGACAAAATCTGGTGCATTTTTCTTTTATAACTACTAATCCCTATGAAACAATGTTAAAAATTTCATACCAGCATCAATAAGGTCCTTCAAAAGGAATTCTGTTGATTCGTTGTATCCAGCTCGGTCTATTATTATGCGAACTGTAATTTTCTTCGTCTTCAGAATCTGAACAAGTCGACCCTGGATGGCTGGATTGTGTATTCCTGGCATACAGACGTTCACACTGTTCTTAGCAGACTCTACGTAACTAATCAGCTTGTCGAAATAATTAAAAGCGTTATATTGCAATTTACAAAATATCATGACTTCATTTATCTCAGTGTTTCTGCTTTTGTAATAATAAGCGGCCGCAGACACAACACAGGTTATCGCTAAAACAGCCGCCGACGACAGTATGCGTGGATTTAACCGCATTTTAAGTGATTTCGTACATAAATGTTAATGTTTCTGGCGTACTCTGACCGGTCTTGAAATTTTTAACTTAAGAATTAAAAATAAGAGGTCATTAGTGCTACACTCTTACACCGCTCAGAAAATGTTAAAGAATTTACAACTACCCTACAAAGATGAATAAAGCTGCAATAGTCATAGATTTTTAGACAAATATAGATATTAAAAATTAAAATAAGTTTATATATAACAAACATTTCCTGTATTAAAAGAACTTCATTATGAACATAATATTGAACAAGAACTGTAACAAAGTAATATTACATCTTTGTATATTATAAAATGAAGTCGCTTCCGCCGTCTGTTCGCTATGCCTTTTAAACAACCCAAGAGATTTTAATGCAATGTTTAGCAATAGATAAAGTGATTTAAGAGGAAGGTTTCTATGTACATCCGTTCGAAGCCGGTGAGAATAGCTAGTTAAGTATAAATTTAAAGTAAGTTTTTCAAAATGAGCGCTCAATGGCTATGACCATTTTATATTTACGTGGCATTTATAAAGTAAAATTATGAAAAACATCTGAAATGAACTATACAATTTCTATTTAATATATATAGTATGTACCTTATATATTATATAGAAATTTGATAGTTAAAATAATATACTTTACTTTTTATTTTACTTTTTTAGTCATTGATTCTTTAATGCAACCAGCATTAAACTCTAAAATAAAATAAAATCTAAGGTTAATGATTTAACCGTACCAATGTGAAACCGTAGCAAACCTTGTAAACGTCATTTATTTTCTATTGACAGCTGTTACTGACACTGACATTTAATTGACAATTTAACTACATTGCCGCGCTACGCGCGAAACAGTTAGGGATTAAAGAAATCGTGATTTTTAATTCTAATATGTATTTATTGCTTCTCTTTGTGATTTTACATTATTTATTAATATAGATGTGTTTAATGCACGATTAAAGTTAATGATTTTATTGTCCTACCGAAATATTATAAGCAACTCGATGCTTATATTTGCCATTTATTAAACCTAAATTAAAACTGTAAATAAAAATCATGGGTATTACGGGATTATTGCCTTTTATAGAAAAAGCTTCTAGACGTGTTAATGTTAGTGAATTTAATGGATGTACTGTGGCTATTGATTCCTACTGTTGGCTGCACAAGGGAGCTTTTGCTTGTGCTGATAAAATAGTTCGAGGTGAAGAAACAGATATGTAAGTATTATAATTTATCTTATATATAATGAAATATATATTAAAAATCGTGAACTTATATAAGTCTAAGTATACTTGTACTATTTTTATGCTTATTTTATTATTAGTTTATCAATATAATTTTTTTTAAAATACTTAACCCTTTTTCTTCTATAACTATAACTCATTTTTTCAGACATATAAAGTATTGTTTGAAGTATGTGAATATGCTTTTATCAAAGAATATTAAACCCATCCTTGTGTTTGATGGCAGACATCTACCAGCAAAAGCAATGACTGAATCTAAAAGGAGAGAGTGAGTAATTCATAGTTTTCTAGTGGTTATAATTTTATTTCATACTAGCTGCCCCAGCAAACATTCTTTTGCCATATAAATTAAAATCGTTATTAAAACATAGGGGTTGGTGGACAACCCTTGTCTCATAGGGTAGGAAAAATTCTCGATTCTCAAAGCTGATTTCATAATAATTGGTCTAGCCATTTCAGAGGAGTATGGTGACTAACATTGTGACATTAGTATTTTATATATAAGATAAAATGTCATCAAGATATGTTAAGCATTTTACCCCAACACCAAATAATGAAATGAATATTCTTTCAAATTAATATACATATTGTATATCTGTCTCATATGTTATAAACTTATATGCAATATATAAGTGTTGTTTGCTGAACTACTTGTTTTGCAGTTTGTAGAGCCTAAGCCTTGGTACTTTATAGAAATCATAAAATACCTAGTTTGGGGAATTTATTTATTTATTTAAGTTTTATTTTTTATATAATTACAATTTTAAATATATAATTTAACTTTAATTAATTTGGTTTCTTTATATATGGCTCCATGTGGGTAAAAGCCTCCTCTGGAGCAAATTCTCCATGATTTTTTATTTGTAGTTACACTAATGCATTTTTCCTGCTATTTTTTTTATGTCATCGGACCATCTTTTCTCTGTCTACCTACTTGCCTTTTGCTTGCTGGGTATGCATTATAGAGTATTTATTTATGTATTTGAGGATATTTATAGAGTAAATAAATTCTTTATACTTACATTGTTTATTCATGATTACAGATCTAGAGACATATCTAAAAAGAGAGCAGCTGAATTGCTAAGTCTTGGGAAGGTAATTTGCACTTTTGCTCAATTTTACTAACAGTCCAGGACATTATTGTAATTTTTAATAATTTTCTAATAATCAATAAGAAAAGGCTAATTCAACTAACAAAATTAATACTATGTACAAATATAACAATATTCCATCAATCTATTGATGTTGATACAGCTGTTTATAAATTATGTGTTTTGCAATAATTGTACAATACAACATTATCATTAATTTTGTAGATATTAAATATAATTTGTTAAATATTAATTTTGTATATATTTAAAAATATTATATTTTGTATTATAATGCATAATGGAGGATTGGTGTAGTGCGATGTTTCAGTGATGCTTTAATTAAACCATGTTATCTTTGCTACTGTACCACTACCATCACTTTCTTATGAGACATGTCTAACACATAAGATACACATCCAAGTGTTCACCTGCGGTTTTGTAAGTTTTTGATAATATTTATAAAACTAAGGTCTAATTTATTAAGCATATAATAGGGTTTTTATGATATGAAGTAATCTATTCCTATCCTCATTATATTGGAAATTTGGGACCAACATAATGTTAAACATTATTCAACCAATCCCCTGTATCACTTCAATATGATCTTGAGTTACAGTACTCAGTAATTTTATCTCACTTTTTACATCAGAACATTTACAGGTAGATGAGGCACGATCATACATGCGACGTAGTGTGGACATCACCCATGCAATGGCCCTTAGCCTCATCAAAGAATGCCGGAGGCTTAATGTGGACTGTATTGTGGCTCCCTACGAAGCAGACTCGCAATTGGCCTATTTGAACATTAAAAACATCGCTCATGTAGTTATAACAGAGGATTCTGATCTAGTCTTGTTTGGATGTACCAAGGTAGCTTTTTTATTTTTCGCTAGATTTACGTAGCGGCATATTGTAAGTGCCAGTAATTATTTAACATCAGAGAGCTGCAGGCTCGTTGACCACTTATAGTGGAGAGTAGAGTATTTATGTCGCGGCTATTTCTTGACATCGTGAACCTTCCTTCTTGTTAGCCACCTGTTCCTTGTGAAATATTGGGGAGTAACATAATTTGCTTATTGTTATATATATATTTATTGTATTTTATGGATATATTTGCTTATTCTGAATACATTGGTTTTATTTTACAATTTTGTACTTGTTAGTTTATTTTTATTTTGACTATTTAGGTCTGAGAAAATCTCAACACATTTTGCCCGATTATTTTACAAATAAAATACATAAAATTAAACTTGTTACAATCTTTGAATGTCATATTTATTTATATTTAATAAACAGCCTAAAAAATAAGTTTCAAGCTTCTAGCATTAAAAATGACGATATTTCTATTCAACCGATCTCTTTATAGATTATTTTTCACATTAAAAAATTAAACTGTCTCTGTACCAAAATTTATTTAAATCGTTTTAGCGCGACAGACAGAGAGACACAGAGTTACTTTTGCATTTAAAATATTGGTAAGGATGTATACATATATATTTTGACATTCAATAATTTCAGGTCCTTTTTAAAATGGATTTAGATGGTAATGGCACTTTGGTGGAAACAGCTAAACTTCCTTTGGTGATGAAGTGCCCGATTGAGCATTACACATTCGATAAGTTTAGACAGATGTGCATCATGTCAGGGTGTGATTATCTCTCGTCACTGCCTGGGATCGGACTTGCGAAGGCGCGGCAGTTCGTTACGGCCACACGCGAGTCTAACTTTGCGAATGTGAGTAAATATTACTAATTGTTTGTTTGATTAGCTTGAAAAACTAACTGTATGATGTTTGCAAAAATTTGACATTTGTCAAATTTCACCTAATTTATATACTTAGTATATTTTTAAATTATAGCCTATGTGTTATTCTAATGTATAAGTTATATCACTTTAAAGTTTCATCAAAATACGTTCAGTAGTTTTTGCGTGAAAGAATAACAACATACCAAACACACCACACACAAATGTTATTTGTGTAGATATATTCTAATATATAACATATTTCTATTTTAATCGATTACAGGCACTTAGAAAATTACCGAGTTTCTTCAACAAATCGAATTTAACAGTAACTGACGAGTACAGGGAGAGTTTTCTAAAGGCAGAAGCCACTTTCAAACATCAGTATGTATACGATCCATTGGTGAGGCAGATGGTGAGGCTCACAGAACCTGATGATGAAGGTAATTTTTTTGTGAATTTGTAAGGTCTCATAGAGAATTGTAAATTTCAAGGCCTGAGTATGCTAGAGGAGAGTGGTTCTAAATTTAATTCTGTAAATAAACTACTTAGCTCATAAAGTTAGTATGAGTTTTGAAGCATAAATTATAACACTAACTAGCACCAATTTTTATCTATTGTGTTGAATAAATATTACAATAACGTAAAAGGGGTTTTAATATCATAGTCTAAGATTTATATCTATTTATAAAAATAGAGAAATGTATGTAATGAAATTATCTACTTTTTATATTTTATTTTTCTTCAATTTTATTATGTAATTTGGATTGCCACGCAAATAAATACAAATAGTATTTAAGAATAACATTATATAAGTTATTTTCTTTATAGATATAGAACAGGCGCTGTGCGTCAATGCTGGCGAGTTGTTGGATGCCAAGATAGCTTTTGAGCTAGCACTTGGAAATTTAGACCCCTTCACATTAAATAAAATGGACGATTGGCATCCAGACTACAGAGAGAATACTGTAAGTGTTACTTAAATTTTTTCAGATGCAGAATATTTTATTTCATCAGCATTTTTTCTGCTGTATTGTGTTTTGATCATAATTGTGATTGTAATGTATAATTTAAGCTTTTTAAGTATATAATTAAAAAATTCCCTATTTATACAAGTTTTGTATAAATAGGGAATTTGTGCTATACAAAATAACCACGTCAACGTACCTCGCAACCAGTGACTGACCTGACGTTTCATCGGTTATATTTTAACTTATTTATTTAACTTTATTACATCCGTAGTTTAAAACTGCTTTGATTTGTATCTGGTTTAAAAATAATATAGATTAGATGTAAAAATGAATGAAATAAACGAATGAACATTTTATGAGATATTACTAAAATATAATACGTCCCTATATGAAAATCATCTACTTGTTTTAGGATGGCCGTATAAAAACAAGCAGTTGGAAAAATAAAGGTGTGTCTACACATCCTAGTATTTGGAATGAGAATTTTAAAGAACATTTAAGTGATCCATGTCCGTGGCAAAAGAAAGTAAAAAAAGTGGAACCTATTATAGCAGTTCCACAGACCAGACCGAAAAAGAAAATAGTGAACCTTGTTAGTAAATATATTCCCGAAACAGAAGACCAAAGGTATGTATGTAGGAGAGTCTCAGACTCAATAAAAGAAACTATAATGTTTATGTAACTTGCTACTGGTAAAACAATTGTGAAGTTCTGTTTCTGAAAGTGAATGTTTTGAGTCTATCCATCGTACATAAAAATTGAAAAGCATGTTAAAATCAGCAACCATATGAAAATAAAGGGTTTGTATAGCTGAAAAATTTCGTTCAAAAGACATTAATTCAATATAATTTTAGAAAGAAATTCTAAAATATTATACTATATATAGCTGTTGAAGCAATTAGTCCAATAAGCTTTTTTAAAGATTTTATAATATATTTTCATTTATGTTTACAGTTTAACGATAGAAAATCTAAGTAATATGTACTGCATGGAACCAGTGTGCAAGAAACCAAAATCTGACAATGATTTTCAATTGAACCAATCTCTCACTCAATTTGACACCCAAGGCAGTCACAATGTGGCCTTACATGATGACGACATCATAAAAGAACTTGAAACACAAAAAGAGAAATCTCCTATTTTGGAGAATAAACAGAGGTCATTTAAGAAATGTAGTTCTAAGAATGGAAGTTATTCCATATTGAAAAGACTTAGTAAATTCCCTAGAACGGTCTTGGATGATCATGTTGTAGAGAGTAAATTTTTTAATTCTACCTCAAGTGATACCTCAACGAGTAATTGTAAGGAAAGTATTATTGATAGTGTTAATGATAATGTTACAGTAGAAGAATCTCCTGATAAGCTAAGTAGAAACCCTTTTAAAGTTAAGTTAGTTGAAAGTGTGACACGTTCATTAGAAATAAATACAGATTGTATAGAGATACCTGATTCTCAATTTAATAGTTCTCAAAAAGAAAATTCACCGCAAAGCAGTCCGGTGAAATGTCAGAGGAGTCCAATTTTGGAGCCTAGTTCGCGACAAAACAATCAGTTAAGGATACTCGAAGAAAAACTGTCCAATGACATCTTTAGTCAAGAATCGGTTATTGAAAATACTTATCCTTTGGAAACATTAATTACGCCACTTGATTCACAGGTTAGTTATATTTGTCTGGAAATATGATAGAATAAGAAATCTAAATGGTAATATATTATTCCTTGCTTGCTTGCCTTCCAATGAAATATGCTATTACAGTATCCTCAATCTGGATATTGTGGCTTATTAATATCTATATATGTATATATTATATAGTTTTTTTTGTATATTATAAAGTAATGATGACCCCGCCGGCGTCAATGGTTTACGCTGACGCCCACTGGTACCTACCAGTGTAGGGCAATAAGATGAATATGACGTTAGGTCAGTCAACCCATATTGGCAAATGAAAATTTACCAAGATGGTTTCCAGGGGGAAGTGCATATATAGCAATCAATAACAATTCCCTTCCCTCCAATATCCTAAAGTTGTCTGGTCTGATTATTTATTTTGCTAGAGTCTGCCCATTTTGCACCTGTGGTTCTTATTGTGGGCGAATGCCCGTCAAACATACGTAGCGCAAACGCTACCTCGACGCCAAGGTAGAGCAAAGTAAACGTCGAAAGTAGAAATGAGCCGATTACTACAATCTTTAATGTCAATAAACGTAATAATATGTTATTAAGGAACAATTATATTGCAGAGTTCATTCGGATCAAGTCCACCAAAATCGAAGCTGTTATGGAAAGAATCGCAAAAACCTATAATCCCTAATAGTCAACCTAATAAAATAGGTGGGACAAATAGTATTAAAAGGTCAATAAGTAAAGCTCCTGTTCTTAAAAGGACGACATCTTTACCGAGTAATCAACCCACTTTGCTGAGTAAATTTGGATTCCAGAAAAAGTAAGTACCTTATTAAAATGTGCTGCTTTTAAATTAATGTAATTTAGATAATCGGTGTTTTCATGACACTAACAAGCTTAGGAAGCTTGTCTGGGTCCTATTCATAAATTGGGGCGCAAGAATTTCGTGATTTTTGATTCCTAACGCCTCTGCCAACAGCTGGTCACATAGTTGAGACTCTCCCTTCTGGGGGGAAGGGGATTGTTAGTAATGTGGACTAATGATCACATTGCTAGTAATGTACCATGTCAGATCGACCTCCACGCGGTCACTCCACTCCATCCCCGGAAACCATCGCGATACTTTCCCGGCGAATTTGTCACGTTGGGCTAACTGATCTGACTTTAATTTCATCCTATCATCCTCCACTGGTGCCCCGCCAATTTCAACTTTATTTTTATAGACATGTAGTTGGTAATATTATTAAGTTTATCGACCTTCCTCCTAAACGTGTAGTGTAAGTTATGAATGGCCCGTCTTTTCCAGATCTCTTAGATAGTTTTTAAGTAGGTGATAGCGCTCTCTGCGGGTGCTGGAGATTTTCAAGACAGTAGAATTACAAGGAGTACTTAGAGGACATTAGTATTAAGGTGACGTTCATTTTTATAAATGTAAAGGAGAATTTTATTACATGTATTTATTATTGTACTGTACTATATGTTTCTTACCTAATGGCGGAATTGACAAATGGGTAATACTTATCCTTTGGTTCATGACTACTCGAATGTATGTATATCTACGTTACTACGAAATATTAATATTTCTGAGTATAAATAATAATAATTACTAATATTCTATAATTAATTGATACGTATATTTTTTCAGGCCTGTTTTGAAGAGGTGATCTTTTGTGATTATGCAGTGTCGCAGTGTTATATAATGTTTAATTATGAGTTATTGTTAATATCCTATTTTATTTTCTACTTAGTGCTTTAAGAATTAAAATACAGTTTTATTTGTTAATGCGACAGAATGAGTGTAAAATTTGTATCCTGGACGTCGCTAATTGTGATATTACTGGTATAATTTTTTTATGTGATAAGTGAAACACTGATTATGTGACTATTCCGTCAATATAATTACAATAAAGATTTTTTAACGTTATCTATAGTTTGTTTAAATTATGTCCATTAACAACAACGCGACGTTTCACTAAACGCAGTTTATTGTGTTACTATAAGTACAAAATTCCTCCATTAATTGTATTTTTTTAATGGATGATTATAGAATTGTGTAACCACCTACTCTAACGTTATACACTGTTAGGGTACCAATGGAAGATGATAATGTAACTGGCCAGTCTGTCCATCGTAGCGAATTTACCAGATATGAAACAAAATGGTTTCCAACGAAACCGAAAGGTTTCTGGTTCAAATTTTTCTTCGCGAGATACTACTTAGAGGCTCAACCATTTTTTATGTAATTTAATTTATACGTAGCAGAGGACACAGGCTACCTGCCTCTTACACTATTTACGTACGTCACGTGACCTATTTTAAACATCCTGATTACAGCTTTGTAGAGCTGTGACCACCCCGTAACTCCGACAATAGCGATGTCTCGTGAGATACATCGTAGGCATCGTAGGTAGTGTCTTTTATCCTGTAAAAAACAACCTATCTTCCGAAGCTTATTTAAAGAAAGTTGACATAAGTTCCAGCGTTTTAGGGCCACAACTCAGGGATAGTAAGTACTTCACATAGGTGTCTGAGGTACTCAAACTTGCATCAAAAAGGAGTTTCTTGATTAAACAGTACTCGACTTGTAAATATGTAAATATGCATAAAAATACAGTGTATTTGATATACATACATACATTTATTCGACAATTTCCAACTAATAGTCAAACTTTTTGTTAAAGTTTTCATTACAATAAATATTACAAGTAACACCATACATTACATACACATACATTAATAAATGAACAGGTTATTAAATAACGTTTACATCGTGAGGGGTGGGTCATCACAAACTGATTACAAGGGGTTGGAAGAGTCACAAAGACTCCTTTTACGACTTAGATTTTGTGATATTAATATTAAAACACGAAACTTTAGCTATTAAAATGGACCTTAAAGTATGGTCTTAACAGTTAGCCGTTACAGTTATTATTGATTTGATATGTCACTATAGAGGACTTAATAATAAACAAAAACGGTTTAAAATAGAGTAAAGTACATACATAGGTATCTATATCCTAGGTATACTTTATGGGTGTCAGTTAATCCGCGCTCGTCGACCCCAAAATTAAATTGGTTTCGAATGAATGTTGCTATTGTTTAGTCCCTGGGTTCATTTGAATATTTTCCACTTAGCGTGTAATTAAAATTTCTCTCGCTATAACGAATTTCGATGAAACTCGATATTGGTTAACGATAGAATTAGCATAGACTTGGTTCCTATGGGGGTGAGGGGGATGATTGAATTCAATAAGAAGTGTTAAATATAAAATTGAAAGGCGACAATGTGTTGTATTGTTTATTTAAATAATTAAAAAAGTAAAAATGTAATTAATATTTTTTTTAAACAACAACAATTGGCTTAGGCCATCTAAATTTGTTGTGGACGCTATATTAAGAATTATTATAAATGCTAAATCATATGGTAATTACAAATAGTGGTATTATTATTTCAATTAAGTAATAGTTTGAAGGTATTGTTAAATTAAAATAAATTTTTAATGAGACCATCAAAATCCATGAAAAAAGTACTTAGTACCGAGGAATAGCGACCTATGGGGGTAGATATGAGACTATCGTGATTTGTGTAGATGGCGTATGTATATAGGCAAAGCCACTTTTCATCTATTCGGCTATCTTAGGTTATTTATCATTTCAGTTAAGTATATGAAAAAATATTAGAACTACGTAGTCCATATAAACCGACGTCCTGGCGTGTTATCGTAACGAATTTTTGTTTTGTTTCACGATAATGGGAAGTCGTGATGCAAACAATATTGTGGCAACCTGAAAAAACATGCCCCTGTATTTTTAAAGGGTGTTGCGGGTTCGAAAAATCGTTCTCAGCATTAATATGGCAGGTTCAGTGTGCGTTGGCGAGCGATAACGTCAGCAACGAGTGGGTGTCGGCCAGGGATGCCAACCGTACGAATATTTTCATACAAATATAAGATTTTAAAATCAGTAAAAAATATTACCGTGCATAAGGTTAGAGAGTTAAATTATCCTAATATTAAATATTTTTATCAGATTTCTTCGTAAGTGTAAGGTAGGCATCCCTGGTGCCAGCTCTTCTGGTATTGCAGGTTAATTAAATTATTTGAAATGTAAATGGCCGTAAAATAATGCACGATCATGAAAATATTGAATATTTTATACAATTTTAAACTGACTTGAAATAAATAGAAGGTTCTCTTTCAATTGGTGAAGAAAGGCGAGTAAGAGCACTGATTTTCTCGAGCACTGTGCTCTCAATTTTATGCAGCTCTATGTTATATTTAAGAGGAATCCTTTAGTTAGCACTTCAACTACTAAGAACCTGTTCGGCTAGTCCATCCGGAACTGCACGCGATGAACATTTTTCTTATTGTTAAGTATATTGAAATATGTCGCCGTATACAGTGATGTGATGTCCATAGTACTCTAATAGTATGAAATGAATATCCTTCGTCTATGACGGTTCATAGACGAAGGATATTCATTTCATAAGGTTGACCGTCATTTTGTTTATCATGTAGCTGTTGTAGGTATATAAAAAATATAGTCTTTTTATGTTTTTTCTTTTATGTTGACAAGTAAATTGTAATTAGTAACACGTCGGCTAACCAAACTGCATGTTCTAAACCCGCTTGATATTTTTTTCTTATGACTGGAATCAGTGGTTCTCAAAGTTGCAAGGCGAGTCCATGAAAATTTCAAGCCATAGTTTCGCTTTAAAGCGCTGTCCTTTAAAGCATAAAAAATTTATAATAGTTGCTCTTACACCAACATAGCCATCGTGTTTTGATATACCCTACCTACGTAATATATATCTTCTTACATACACAACAATATCTAAGTTATTAATTAGTTTCTTGTTCAAGGCGATCCTAAATAAACCTACTAGTCGGATAAATTCTAGGTATAGGTACCATATAAAGAACACAATAGTAAGATACTTACATATAACATTTATAACAATAGAAAATATATGTAAATATCTAAAGAATCTTCTTACAAGATGCTATGCAACAACAAATTTAACTTATCGTTAATAAATAACTAAGAGTTGATATTTCCAATTTGATTTCTGCTTATCATCCTTATATACGAAATTAGATACCTATACGCAATAAATAGGTACTTCGTGCTACCGCACCATAGGAGTGTTGTTAGATAACTCCTCATGCGTTGCTATTGTTGAGGACTAAATTGCCTGCCATAAACCTTTAGAACTAAACGTTACCACTTATAACGGCAGAAATAGATGAGATGTAGGTACATACCGATGCAGACTACTTCTTAAAAAGTGTAAATTTATTTCGGCTATTTTCGGTGTGCAAAGATTGCTAGACCTACATGTAGTGTATGTGGAAACACTAGCAGTTTATTATCTATCGTCTCGAGCCGAGCGTACACGGACCGCCGTGCGCAAGAGGGAAGGGATTCCCTGCGCAAGCGCCGCGGAGTAAAGACGTGGAGCTATGGCTAACGAGCCGATATTACGTCGATAACAACTTACATACAAGAAGACATAAATAACAAATAAGTGAACACTATATGTGGCGACGAGGCAAAATGGATATAAATAAAGATAAGTACAAAATCATTTAATAAGATATACATATACCTACGGGTACGGAGTAATTACAAATTTAGAAGGATTATGGTGGGGCCGCACGGGGAGCGAATTATATAGACCTATATAGAAAAAACAATAGCTGGGTAACATCGGTTTACGATCGATTTGCGCCAAGTAAGTAGGTACCTAATTATAAATTGTACTTGCTATACCTATAGTGTCTCTAGCTGGTAGGAATAGTCGTATTAATAATCATTGTAGTAATATGTTTACGTATATCCGTGATTTATTATTTTTAATGTATGATAATGGTGTACTGCCTGCGCTGGCGTGGCACTGATGGAGTATGGTAGAATGAGCGGGAGGGATAGGATCGGTTGGCCCGTCGTGGTGGGTTCGTGTTAATTTGTCGCGATGGTTTCTGGGGGGAGCCGCGTGGAGGTCCCTCTGGCGTGATACATTGTTAGCAGTGGGATTATTTTAACAATCCCATTCCCCCTTCCGTATTTCCGTGTTGAAATAAAAAATCGGTAATGATTGTAGTTGCCGCTGCATGTTCGTTTCATGAGACGGTGACGGTGAGATGTTTAGTGGGACATCATATTACGTGATGCAATAGACCTGTGGGTATGAAGTATAATAGAGCACTGCGTGCGGACGACACGGACGTTTGTTTTGCTTTATCTTTTCTAGGTGTCGATGCACTTTAATTACTTTTGGCAATAGGGCCGCCTTATTGTATTTATACAGAGGTGGTGACTAGTGTTCAAATGTCACTATTTTCTTTTAGAGTATTGCTGCAAATGGACGTGGTCTAAAGTTCCTCTTTCTAACTGTAATGATCACATGATAACTTAATATTACATTTTGTACGGGATAATATTACGATGTTGTCGGGTGATACGATATTATTACAAATGACGGTGAGCTGACAATTGTACCTGCATTATATGTAGTACTGATGTTGGGTGTTATATACAAAACAACAATAGTAAAATCTAAGGTGGGGTGACACACACGGTTTGAGCAGTGCTTGGTGGACAATATTTATATTTGCCTTAATTGATTGCAAGTGTTGAAGTATCTGGGTAACAATGTCCCATACATTTCGATGCGGATGATTTGTTCGGAATAACTGCAGACTATTTTATTCTGGTATTCGAGCAGAGCCGCGAAGTAGTGTTGTTAAAATGTTTTTATTTGGATTGGATTTGGCTTTTGGATTATATAATTTATAAATAATAATTATTAGTGAGCATTCCAATGGATGCCGGTGGGAATTGCAATTGTTTTGCATAGGAAGGTTTTAAATGTAGATTAATTAT